GATGCAGTGACAAAATTATCTTTTGTCTCCTCAAAAAGGAAAGAAGCCCAGAAGTTTCCCTCTTCCATTAGGTGAAAAAGCCATCCCATAGGCCTGGGGGACTTCACCTCAAACTTAAAGATAGCTAATTAGACAGAAACCAAAAAATCCCATCTAGGCAATTTACTAGAAAAAGAAGTGAACAAAGAAACTAATGGCTTTTGTGAAGTGTTTTACCAGGAACAAGAACCTCTTGCACCTAGCTCAGTTTTTCCCTGTTTTTTATTTTGCCTTTTATTAAACCTTTTTGTTTCCAACACTGCCACAGCAGCCATCCTGCTGATTTTATGCCCCCAAAAGTAGCTGAGCTATCTTGAGTGAGTAACAGACCTCCAAGAAACTTATGAGACCTGACTCCAAGAAGCTGCAATCACTTGATGATGAGGAGTAAAACTGCCCAGGTAGGAATGGGCAGAATGATGGGCACCCATCCCTTCACCAAACTCAGTTCCCCCCTCCTGGGAGCACTGGGCTGTGGGGCACCAGCAGTGCCCAGGGCTCTGAGGGTTCCATCTCTGCAGAGTGAAGCTGCTCCCTCTGAGGGGCTGCACCCAGGGCACAGAGCAGCCTGGACACCAAGCTCACAGGACACTCTTGGGTTTCTGTGGTTGAGATGACCCCTGAGGTACTAAAAAGTCTTTTTTCCCAGCCCCATGACCAAAGAAGAAGTCAGTTCTGCTTTTCAAGGTTGTTTTCTCTTATCTATTCCATTCTTTCTCTGACCTGCTGAGATCTGTCCAGCAGGCTGGGTTGTGGCACAGTGCCTGCCCTTGGGGTGGTGTTAGCTTTGTATACTAAGAACTATGTGTATTTTTTTCCAATAATTTTCCATAATTTTCCAATACCTATCACCTCTGTTAGACAGTCTGTCTCTGCTCTAAACCAATCCAGAAGTGCCACCATCACAGCAGGAGATGGAGGACAAGAAGAAGGAGAAGAAGGACAGGACACACCCAGATTCCTCCATCTTGCCTCTTGAACCCTCATTCTAAATCCCCAAAATTCTACTTTTTCACCCTGTGACAAATTCACTATCATTCTACTCAAAACTCTACTTTTTCACCTGTGACAAATTCACTATCATTCTACTCAAAATTCTACTTTTTCACCCTGTGACAAATTCACTATCATTCTACTCAAAACTCTACTTTTTCACCCTGTGACAAATTCACTTTCATTCTACTCAAACCCTTGTGGCTTGTAACTCTCCACACCAAGTTGGTGATTTTTTTTCCATGGGCTAAAATGGAAGGCACAGGTGGTTTTGACTCTGTGCCATGGTCTCAAATCACCCAGGGCAGCCAGAGGAATGTCCTGGTTCTGGCAGGGCACAGCAGGCTGATCTCTCTGGGCTGAAGAGGAGCTGGATTTTCTGTGTTCTGAGCCCTTGGGTGCAGGCAGTGCCTGGTAAAACACCAGGTCAGGGCTTTAGGAGGCACACCCCAAATCCCAGCTGTCACACACCCCCTTCTCCCAGGCTCTGCAGCCACAACCCATCCCCATTCCTGGGGGTAGAAGCACAGAAAGGTTTGAACTGAAAGGGTTTTGAAGGACCTGGGTTCACAGAAGTGCCTGACCCCAAAGCTGCTTCCTCCTCTCCTCCCTGCAGGGCCCAGGAGGGGCAGGGACCATTCCTGGCTGTGCTTTGGGCACATCCTTGTCCCTGCTCCAGTGGCAACCCAAACCTCTCCCCTCAGCTGGGGGATGCCCAAAGATGAGTTCTCCCCTCAAAGGATGCTCAAGGGCTCTTTCCAGACAGCTCCTGCTTTGGAGTCTGAATTTCCTCCCATCTCCTTCCCTCCACCTCCTTTCTGATGGCTTCTCTTGAGCACAGAAAGAAAGAGCCAGAAGAGTTCAGGAAGAGAGAGCCAGGAGTTCCCAGGGGGAGGTGATGGGGACAGGGATTAAATAAAGTTGTTTTATCTAAAATTAATCACCAATCTTTATTCAATATATTACTAAAATTATAAAATGCAGTTCAACAACACACTGAATAATAGTTGATAGTACATATTCACCATCACACTTCTCTTCCAAAATTTTTCACCAAAAAGAATGCTGATACTCTCATTGCAAACATTACCTTAACAATTCCTAAAAACAAACAACAATCTCATCAATTTTACCATTAAAATATTCAAACTTTACAACAATTTAACCATTAAAATATTCAAACTTTACAAAAACAATTTAACCTTAATAACAATAATACTAATTTGATTATTACTACATACCCATAAAAAAAAGTTCCACAATTAGAATTGTTCACCCAAAAATACTATAACTAATGCTCTCATTGCCAACATTACCTTAACAATTCCTAAAAACAAACAACAACCTCATCAATTTTACCATCAAAATATTCAAACTTTACAGCAACAATTTAACCTTAATAACAATAATGCTTGTTCAATTGTACTACATACCCTAAAAAAAAAGGTTCCACAATTAGAACGTTCCATGATTAGAAGATTCCATGTTATAGCATTTTCTTCACCAAAAAACAAATGCTATAACTAATACTCTCATTGCAAAGATTACCTTAACAATGCCTAAAAACAAACAACAATCTCATCAATTTTACCATTAAAATATTCAAACTTTACAAGAACAATTTAACCTTAATAATAATAATATTCAATTATTATTACTACATACCCTAAAAAATTTCCACAATTAGAATTTTTCACCAAAAAAAAGAGCTATAACTAATATCCTTATTATCAACATTACCTTAACAATTCCTCACCACAAACAACAACCTCATCAATTTTACCATTAAAATATTCAAACTTTACAGCAACAATTTAACCTTAATAACAATAATGCTTGTTCAGTTGTACTACATACCCTAAAAAAAAAAAAAAGAAAATCCACAATTAGCGTTCCACTAATTATCTCTGGTGAATGAGTGAGTGCAGATGTCCCTGGCAGGGGTGAGGATGTCTGTGATGTCAGCAGGAGACTTTGTGACTTGGTTTGCGGTGGGAAAAACCGGTGGGGAATTTTAAATGTGTGAAAAACATTCTGCAGTCCAGGGGCAGGGGTGCCTGCCCTGCTCTCGGGGCCTTTCCCACTGCTCAGGAGGAGGTTTCCACTGCCCAGCCTGGATTTCTGCTCACAAATCCTCCAAATTCTTGCCTGGGATGAAGGGAAACTGAGTCAGCTCTGCCTCCAGCAGAAGGGTCCATGTTTGGGCTTCTGCTCAGAGCTGCTATCGGCTCAGAAATCTGCAAGTGAACAGGCTGCAGCTGCTTATCTGTGCTTCATGAATCTCTGTCACGTCAGGCTTTTCCTTGAAGCTCCAGCTGCTGCAGGCTTTGCACGAGAATGGCAGCTTGTAGCCTCAAATTGGGGTTTGCCCACTTGGCACGGGAGGCAGAGGGGAAAACTGATTTACTGGCAGTGAGGGCAGCGAGGAAACACCAGCCCTGTTTCGTCACAGGTGAGCTGTGGATGCTCAAGGTTTGCCCTTGCTGGAAAATCCCAGAATGGGTTGGGCTGGAAGGGTCCTTAGGGATCATCTCATTCCACCCCTGGGCACTTTCACCATCCCAGGCTGCTCCCAGCCCTGTCCAGCCTGGCCTTGGACATTCCAGGGATCCAGGGGCAGTCTCTTCCACTGGGCAGCACTGGCAGAACCAGAGGACACAGTGGATGTTGGATATTAGGAAGAAAATTTTCACCAAAAGAATAATAAAGCACTGGAATGCTCTCTCCAGGGAGGTGGTGGAATCACCATCTCTGGATGTGTTTAAAAAAACACTGGACATGGCACTTGGTGCTATAGTCTGGTTGAGGTGTTGGTTGATGATCTTAGAGGTCTCTCCCAACCTCATTATTCAGTCTCTTCCAGCTGCTCTGGGCATTCTGAATTCCATCCCAGCCCTCCCAGGGAAGGATTTCTTCCCAGTATCACCAGGGCCATGTTACAAACACATTCATGGCAATTTTGCTCCATTAGCCCAGAGTGCAGCTCCTGGGGGACAGCAGGAGGGTCCTCACCTGCCACTGCACAGCCTTAGTGATGCCTCAGGTTTGAGCTTTTCTATGTTTCACATTCTGTGCTGCTTTAGTGTGTACTTTATTTACACAGGGTAAATAAAATACACATTAAAGTGCACTTTAGTTAGTGGGTGGGTCTGTGTTTCACATGAGGGGATGGTGAGCTCTGTGCACAGAGCAGGGACACAAAACAATTCCTGCTCCAGCTGGGGACCAAGGACAAATGATCCAAATCTCAGCCCCAAGAGCACAAACAACAGAGAAAAACAAGAAGGATGGGACTGCATGGGCCAAAGCTGGAATTGGACAATGAACTGCAATATGTAAATGGAGCAGAACTGATCAAAGTGAGAGACCCCATGACCTGATGTCCATTTTTGTGACTTTTTGGGTTTTATCTTGGGTGCAGCCCTGGCTGGGCTGGGGCTGTAATTGGACAATTAACTGCAAGATGCAAATGGGGCAGAACTTGGGGACAACAGACCCCATGACCTCTTGTCCATTTTTGTGACCATTTTGGTTCATCTTGGGTGCAGCCCTGGCTGGGCTCTTGTGCTGCCCAAGGTGCATCCATTGAGGCCTCCTAATAAATAAATACATTAATTAACTCTGTCTGGTCTCTGTTCTAGGTCAGCCTCCACAAGGCATCGCTAGAACTGATGGAACTGATGCATCAGGTGAAAGAATCTTGTTCATGTGGGGCTCCTGATAAAAATCAAGAGGCTTTCCTAGAAGAGAAGCTGCAAAGGAAGAACTCACTAGGAGTCAAAGAGGTGAGGGTGGGTGCATTGCCCACAGCTTCCAGAACAAACACAGAGTTCTAAAATTGGCTTTCGAAGGACGTCAGATCCCTCAGATCAGCCCCATGATGGAGGTGGGTTGGTGCCCAGAGCCAGACCTGACTGAATTCCCCTCTCACTGTGCTGAGACATGCAACTTGTGGAGAGATTCTTCAGATGAGTCTGACTTCCGTGGTTTCCTGGAGTCTGGTGTCGGGCTATAAAACCCTGCTGGGAGCAGGATGAGACCCCAGAAGCTGCCCCAGCTCGAAGGGACCCACAGAAGGCTGTGATGGAGCACCTGCAGAGCCTCCTGCTGCCCCTCATGCTGGTGATGTGCCCCCCAGTCAGCAGCAGTAAGTAGAACGGGTTGGGGAAGGATAAATCTCACTCTATGCCCTCCAAAAACCTCATTCCCAGCCCCATCCATTGCAGATGATCCCTGGAGGTGGAGGGAGAGAGGAGAAGCCAGGACACGGCCTGCTCCCTACGTGGCCTTTCTGCAGGGGAAGGACAACCACAGCTGTGGGGGCTTCCTGGTGGCTCCAGGCTGGGTGATGACAGCAGCTCAGTGCCTCCAGTGAGTCCCTGCTGTGTTCTGCAGAGAGGTGCCTGCCCCTCCAGGGCCTGGGGACAGCAGCTCCTCTGGGGAGGGCTCACAGATGGAGTCACCTCAGCCACCAGCTGGGTCTGAACTGGCTGGGGGACAGCTTGGGGACAGCTTGGGGACAGGTTTGGGGACAGCTTGGGGACAGCTTGGGGACAGCCTGGGGACAGCCTGGGGACAGCCCTGGGGACAGCCCTGGGGACAGATTGGGGACAGCCTTGGGGACAGCTTGGGGACAGCTTGGGGACAGCCTGGGGACAGCTTGGGGACAGCTTGGGGACAGCCTGGGGACAGCCTGGGGGACAGCCCTGGGGACAGCTTGGGGACAGCCTGGGGACAGCTTGGGGACAGATTGGGGACAGCCCTGGGGACAGCTTGGGGACAGCCTGGGGACAGCCTTGGGGACAGCCTGGGGACAGCTTGGGGACAGATTGGGGACAGCCCTGGGGACAGCTTGGGGACAGCCTTGGGGACAGCCTGGGGACAGCCTTGGGGACAGCTTGGGGACAGCCTGGGGACAGCTTGTGAACAGATTGAGGACAGCCCTGAGCCCCATCTCCCTCCCCATCCCTGGGGACAGCCCTGGGCACAGCTTGGGGGCAACCCTGAGCCTCATATCCATCCCCACCCTGAGCTTGGGGACAGCCCTGAGCCTCATCTCCCTCCCCAGCCCTGGGGACAGCTTGGGGACAGCCCTGGGAACGGCTTGGGGACAGACCTGGGGACAGCCTGGGGACAGCCCTGAGCTCCATCTCCCTCTCCAACCCTGGGGACAGCCCTGGGGACAGTTTGGGGACAGCCCCAAGCCCCATTTCCCTCCCCACCCTGAGCTCAGGGACAGCCCTGAGCCCCATCTCCCTCCCCAGCCCTGGGGACAGCTTGGGGACAGCCCTGGGGACAGCTCTGAGCCCCATCTCCCTCCCCAGCCCACCCTCAGGTATTTACTCTGATTTTTTCCCCCTCCATGACTGGTTTTGTTTTCCCCAGGTGCCAGCAATGGGAGGTCAGGGTGGCTCCTCCTTCCCTTGCTGTCAGACTTTGTCCTTTCTGCCACCAACGTGTTTGCTGGCAGAATTATTTCCTATGAAATATATTCCTATATTCCTATGAATATTCCAGCTGCTTGCCCAGCCCTTTTCCACCCCTCTAGCTGGGGTATGGATGGGCAGGGGGACTTTTCCAGGTGTGGCTCCCACACAGCTCAGGGCTGGTTTAGAAATAAATATCCTGATTTAGAAAGCCCCGGACTTGCAAGGGCTTGTGGAGCCCAGAACAAGGAGAGTACTGGAACAAATGTGCCCAGCTTGAGGTCTGGGCACTGAAATAAAGGAGATAAAGGAGAGATAAAAGAGATAAAGGACTCTGTCAGGTGGGAGCTTGCTCTGCCTCTTGGCTGGGCAGATTCACTGGCAGAGCTCCTTGGTTCCACAATTCTTCTTTTAAAATGCTGGATGATGGATTTTGTGCCTAGGGAATATCTATTTACACTGTATTGTGTAGTTGGGCTGTCCTGGCCATGCCCTGGGGGATGAAGCTCAGTGTCCCCAGGTGGGACAGGGACAGGCTGGTGACACCGCTGTGCTCGATGCCACCAGGCACAAACCCCTGAGTGTCATCCTGGGAGCCCAAAGCCTGCAGAGGAGAGAGGAAAGCTGGCAAACCTTCCAGGTGAAGGAGTACCACAGCTACCCAGGCTTCACCAGCCCCAAGGAGGGCAAGGACATCCTCCTGCTGAAGGTAACCTGGTGGAACACCCGGCTGGAAACCCCGAGCTGGGGCACGAGGGGATCCCAGGGCAAACACTCATCTCTGTGCTTTCTTCTCTCTTTCTCTCTCTTTATCTCTGTTTTTTCTGTGCCCTTGCCCAGCTGAGTGGCAATGCCAGCAGCAATGGCCACGTCAGGCCCATTTCCTTGGAGAAATCCAAAATTCGGGGAGGCGCCGAGTGCAGCCTGGCTGGCTGGGGTGACAGGACGGCCACTGTCACCATCATCAGGCAGAGGGACTGCCTCAACCACTACCCAGGCCTTGCTGACAACTTGATCTGTGGCCAGAGCAGATCCTCCAAGGTACCTGGAAAGGTCAGTGTGCCCAGGGAGGGCGAGGTTTGGGCTGGGGAAAGGCACTGAGGACAGGATCCTTGTGGATCCTTCTCTTCTCCCACGGCACAGGAGTCCCAGCAATGCCTTGGCCAGAGGGGCTCACCCTGAATCTCACTGTTGGTCCGAGTGTGTTTTGTGTCTGGAGCCAGCAGAAGGGCAGAAATGAAGTTTTATTGTTCCCAAACAAAGCTGTCACCACCAGCCCCTTGTGGAGGCAGAGCTGTGGGGAGATGAGGAGGCTCAGAGGGGCCTTGTTGCTCTCTACACCTTCCTGAAGGGAGGCTGCAGACAGGTGGGGTCGGTCTCTTCCACTGGGCAGCACTGACAGAAGCAGAGGACACAGTGGATGTTGGATATTAGGAAGGATATTGGATACTATTGGTGCTATAGTCTGGTTGAGGTGTTAGGGCATAGGCTGGACTTGATGATCTTACAGCTCTCTTCCAACCTCATTGTTCTGGGATTCTGGGATTCTGAACCCCAGAGAAAGGAAAAGCAATTCTTATCATTTGCTGTGCCTGTGTTGTGCCAAAGCAGAATGCTTGGGACACAAACCCTGTGAGGAACATTTGAAGGAGCTGGGGCTGTTTAGCCTGGAGAAAAGGAGGCTCAGGGGTGACCTTATTGCTCTTTACACCTTCCTGAAGGGAGGTTGGAGCCAGGTGGGTTTGGTCTCTTCCACCAGGCAGCACTGACAGAACCAGAGGACACAGTGGATGTTATTTTCACCAAAAGAATAATAAAGCACTGGAATGCTCTCTCCAGGGAGGTGGTGGAATCACCATCTCTGGATGTGTTTAAAAAAACACTGGACATGGCACTGGGTGCTATAGTCTGGTTGAGGTGTTGGTTGATGATCTTAGAGGTCTCTCCCAACCTCATTATTCTGGGATTCTGGGATTCTCAGTAATTCTGGGGTTCTGGGATTCTGATTCTCTGTGATTCTGGGATTCTGTGATTCTGGGATTCCCAGCGATTCTGGGATTCTGGGATTCTGATTCTTTGTGATTCTGGGATTCTGATTCTCTGGGATTCTAGGATTCCCAGTGATTCTGGGATTCCCAGTGATTCTGTGATTCTGGGATTCTCAGTGATTCTGTGATTCTGGGATTCTGATTCTCAGTGATTCTGGGATTCCCAGTGATTCTGGGATTCCCAGTGATTCTGGGATTCTGTGATTCTGTTACCCCCACCCACTGCAAGTCCACGCTCTTGCTGGGGAAATCCTGCCCTGAATTTGCAGCCTCCCTCCTTGCCTGCAGTTCCCACCACCCAGCACTGATCTCTCTCCTCCTCTTCACAGGCTGATGCTGGGGATCCTCTGGTCTGCAACAACAAAGCCTTTGGCATCTTCTCCTACAGGCACAACAACTGGCCTGGCTTCTACACACACATTGCTCCTTACCTGCCCTGGGCCCACAGCGTCATGAAACCCTTGTGACCCTGCTGCCCTGCAGAGCTCACCCTCCAGAGCCCCATCCTCACCAGCTTTCCTTTCCTTTTGCCCTGCTCCTGGTGGATGTGGCAGGGGTTCCTCATGGCCAGGCTGAGCTCTGCCCGTGCTGGGGCTGGCACAGAGGAGCTGCCCTGGCTGGGGTTGTGCCCTGGGCTCCTTCCCTGCTGTGGCCCCAGCTCTGGAGAGGAGCAGCAGCTCAGGGGGTGCCTGGAGCCCTCAGGGGAAGGGAGGAGGAGATCAGAGGCATCAGAGAGCAGCTGTGATCTGTGGCAGGTCTGGCTTGCCCAGGCTCCAAGGACACTTCCAGTGCTCCACTACTGCTCTCCCTACCTCTGAATCCTGCTGCCTCCTTTCTCCCCTCCTCTGTAGCCCCAGTGTTGGAAGAACACATAAAAACAATAAATCCCAGCAGCATTTCAAAGCCTTTTTCCTGGTGCTATTTGGATTTCTCTGGGGCCCTGGCTCCAGTGCTGAGCAGCTCAGGAGAAAGCCACAGCTCCAAGAGCTGAATCCCAGACTGGGGCTTTCTACCCAAACCTCCATTTTCCTCCATTTTCTGCCCTCTAAGCCTCCAGAGGAGAATTCCAGTCTGGATTCCAGGGCAGGGACTCTCCTCACTCCCTCCAGGGACCTCCAGGCTGGTCCTTGGGGGGGATTTCCTCTCTCCCATCCTCTCCCCGCTCTCAGTTCTACCCCATCCCACCTCTGACTGCCAAACCAGCATCTTCCTTCCCCCCAGGGCACCTCTGGCACTGCCAGTGCTCATTGTGGCACCCTGAGTCATCTTTTAGTGAAGCTGGCAGCAAAGAGAGGAACCTCACAGTCCCACCACGGCCTGACAGTCAGGAAATATTTTATTTCTGGTTGTGGTTTTAAGACAAAAATATAAACCCCTGCCTTTTCTACAATAGAGCTTAAAAATATTGCAACCTGAGGAAATTAATCTGGAGAATTTGGAAAGATACCAAGCAAGAGGAGCTCAAACACTTCCGTCAGATGTTTGGGATTTCATTTACAAAAACATTTCTGGGGAGTGTTTGCCTTTCCTTGTGCTCACCTCTGCCCAAAGGTGACTTGTCAGGGGCCATTCCAACATCTGTGGCAGCACTGGATACAAAACACAAGGACAAAGATGTGAAGACTCCAAATATTTTCCAAACCTTATAATTCAAAATGTCTAAAAGTCCCCAGGTCACTCACCTGACTAAGAAAAGCTGCAGCTGAGCAGAGTTATCAGTGGTTTCTGCTGTGGGTGGTGTTGCACGAGGAAAGCACCTCTAGCAAATTTCTGCTGAGTTTTCCATGCCCAGAGTGCCCTCTTTGGGTTGGCAGCAGGGTGTGTTCTTCAGGGTTCTGTCTCAAACAACTTCCAAAGTGATCCAATAAAATTCACTTCTTCCACTTTGGAAGTAAATTCATGGCTGAGCCGAGGAAAGGCTCCTCTCATCCCCAGGGTTCTTTACATCATTTAATCTGCTCTGAATCAAGGGTTGCAAAAGTGATATTGAGATTTCTTTTTTTTTCCTGAGGCTGCCAAATCCTGCCCAGAAGAATTCTGTTCTATTCTGTTCTATTCTATTCTATTCTATTCTATTCTATTCTATTCTATTCTATTCTATTCTGCTCTATTCTATTCTATTTCTATTCTATTCTATTCTATTCTGCTCTATTCTATTCTATTCTATTCTATTTCTATTCTATTCTATTCTATTCTGCTCTATTCTATTCTGCTCTATTCTATTCTATTCTATTCTATTCTATTCTGCTCTATTCTATTCTATTCTATTCTATCCTCAGTGCTCCTCCTGTGTCACCTCTTGGGGAGCTGAAGACCAAATTCCTGAGTCACTGGGAGGGAGGATGGGAACCAGCAGAGCAGGAGAGACCTGTCCTTGGTGAGCTCCATCATTTCTTTCCATGGCCAGGAGCTACAGATCCTCACCTGAGATGAAGGGAGGAGCAGCTCCAGGACAAAGAACAGCCCTGGGCAGAGCTGAGGCCCCTGAGAAGATGCATCCTCACCCAGCTCAGCAGCTGGGGTTCCCCAGAAGCTCCACACAGCCCAAGTGTGGAGTCCTTGTCACACATTTCAGCCACAAAAACTCCTCAAAAGCCATGAGTTCTCCACCCACAGTGGTGGAGATGGTACAAAAATTAAATTAAGCTTGTGGAGGGTTAACTTCCTGGTCAGGCTGCATGGCAGGAGATAAAGCAGCTCCAGGACAATTATACCAAACTGGTATCACTGGGAGAGCACACAGGAAACAGCTTGGGCTGGGACAAGCCCTGGCTGAGCCCAGGGCTCAAGAAACTCTTGACAGAAATGTTGTTCCAACAGCAGCTGCCATTCCACAGGCCAGGCTGCTCCTGAGCTGCTCATCAGCTCCAGAGCCCTGTGTGGGATCAGGAAAACACAGGGGACAAACCTGGGGTACAGGAGGGAGGCTTGATATTGCTGCTTTATAAATTCCACATGGCATTTTACTCTTATGCTAGACAGATATTTCCCTCTCTTCCCCAGAGGGCAAAGGGAATGCTCAAAGGAAAGAGGAGGATGATGGTTGTCCAAGGACAAGGCAAATCCCAAGTTCTTTCTTTCCTTTTTTCTTGCCCATGGGATTTGTTTTAATATGAAAAATACAAAAATTTATTTCCTTCGTGTTTTACCCATGAGCACAACCCCAAGCACCTCCTTTGGTAGGGCAGGGACATCCAGTGGCCAGATTTGAAGTGATTTGCAGCAGTCCCTGGGCCAGCTCACCTTATCAGGACACTCCCCTGGCCCAGAGCCCAGCCCTGGCAGCTTTCTTTACTGAGTCCCTCCCTCTGGAGCAGGCTGGAGGCCAAAGGAATTATCCAGGCACTGGAGGTGCCTCAGGACACAGCCTCCCATGTTCCCAGACCTCTCCCTGCAGGATGGGCACAGGAGGAGCTGAGAGCTCCAGCCCCAGCTGCAGAGCTGGAGGTGAGGAGGAGCTCTCTGTGCTGCTGGGGAAGCTTTTTCCAGCCTGGGCTGATGCCTCAGGTTTTAGTTTTTATAGTTTTCAGATTCTATTTCTATTCTATTCTATTCTATTCTATTCTATTCTATTCTATTCTATTCTATTCTATTCCTATTCTGCTCCAAGCCCTGTCCAGCCTGGCCTTGGACACTCCAGGGATCCAGGGGCAGCCCCAGCTGCTCTGGGCATTCTGAATTCCATCCCAGCTCCTCCCAGGGAAGGATTTCTTCCCAGTATCACCAGGGCCATGTTACAAACACATTCATGGCAATTTTGCTCCATTAGCCAAGAGTGCAGCTCCTGAGGGACAGCAGGAGGGTCCTCACCTGCCACTGCACAGCCTTAGTGATGCCTCAGGTTTGAGCTTTTCTATTTTTCAGGCTTTTGGTGCCTCAGGTTTGAGCTTTTCTGTTTTTCAGGTTCTGTGCTGCTTTAGTGGGTGGGTCTGGGTTCACATGAGGGGATGGTGAGCTCTGTGCACAGAGCAGGGAGACAAAACAATTCCTGCTCCAGCTGGGGACCAAGGACAAATGATCCAAATCTCAGCCCAAGAGCACAAACAACGTGGGCTGGAGAGAGAAAAACAAGGATGGGACTGTATAACCTAAAGCTGGAATTGGACAATGAACTGCAATATGCAAATGGAGCAGAATTTATAAAACTGACAGACCCCATGACCTTTTGTCCATTTTGTGGCCATTTTAGGTTGTGCTGCCCAAGGTGGATCCATTGAGGCCTCTTAATAAATCCCAATTTTATTCTTTAGCTCTGTCTGGGGTCTGTTCAGGTCAGCTTTCACAAGGCACCAGGGCTGGAGTGGTCCTTGGGAAAGCAGCAAGTGTGAGCCTGCTGTTCATGGGCTGTTCCCTCAGCTGCCTCCTTCCCTGGGCTGCTCCAGAACAGCCCCACTCACACCTGGAGGCTGCAAAAGGCCTTTGCCACCCAGGATTTCCACCCAGCTGGAAATACTGGGTGTTAAAACTTCATTTTTTTCCCCCCTCAACTTGTTGCTTTGCTTTATTTAAACAGAGCAGATTTGGCTCTTTGCAGAGAACAGCACAACACGTGACTGAGGACACGAGCGCTGACTCTGCTGCTGAGGGGACAGAGCCTCTGAGAAAAGCAACAAAAACTCACCCAAAGCTGGAAAAGTGACAATTTAAATCCTTGCCAGTGCTCTGGCCACCACACCACTGCTCCCTTCCTGGTGGGAGCCAACAAAATGTCTCAGGCTGCCCAGGAGCTGCAGTTTCACCTGGGCTAAGTGACCTTGGAGGGAGCAGAACATCCTCAGTTGCAGCTTCCTGAAAACACAGGAAACCTTTACAAAGAGGAAATTGGCCATCTCTACCCACTCCCAGCTGATTTAGTGCAACATTCCTGGAGAATGAGCCCAGAGAAAAGGAATTAAGCTCTATAAACTCCATCTCAGGAAATCTCTTTGTGGACGTTTTAGTTTTCACAGTCATGCAGCCCCGGACTCCTTCAGGGATGATTTTAAACCACATTTCATATTTCTGTTTCTAACAGACACCACTGAAAGCAGTTCTGGTCCCACCAACATTCCTGCTATTGGCAACAAGATCTCCTGCTTGGAATTGTGCCTGCAAGGGGCTGACAGCACAGCAAGAGGCAGCAGCAAACACCAACAACTTCCCTCAGTAATCCTACTCCAAAATCCTGGAAAACTTCAAATCCAGATGCCACCATTGCATCCCTGCACCTTAAACCCCCAGGCAGACACTGCTCACATTTCAGAGTCAATGGGACAGTGCATTATATAGAATTATGGCCTATTATAGCTTTTATTTACCAAAACATGCTTTGTTTCTATGCCTGAGAATCCTGATTTTCTGACAGGAGGCAGAGCTGCAGGTCCCACAGGGTACCAGGGAGGAAGAGGAGAGAAGAAACACACACACAACCACCACGGCTTTTAGGAACAAAATTTATTCCAATTTCAAACAGAGAGTTTATTTCAGGAGAAAGATATGAAAATCAATTTCCATCAGATATTTCTGTAATAAGCGTGTTGCCCAGCAGTCAGAGTGGGATCATTCCAAGAAACAATCACACTCCTGGACTGGAATGAGACAGTTTGGAGTCTGAATAGATCCTGACACTGGGCATCTTATTCAGAAACTCCTTTACCCTACCCTCTTCCCTCCCCGCCCCCCAACACGCACAACAATACATGCATTGCAAATGACAAGGTTTAAAAACAGCATTTTATATAGTATTCTTTTTAAATAGGATAATGTTTAAATTGTCTTAAATCAGGATCCTATAATATACAAGTATAACCAAATAATTTCCACCACATTGGCACTTGTAAAGAGTCTCTGGCACTACTAAAAGAAGGGGCATTGGCACAAACCATACTCTTAAAAAACTGGGTGCTGCATAACACACTTTATCTCTGCTGGACTCTAACGACCTGGGCTCTGTACAGGACAATACAATGGTCAGCACACTCCGGAAGTACTTTTTTTTTTTTTGTCTTTTTTTTTTTTTTTTTCCATTTGTTTGGGTTTTTTTAAGTATTTTTTTGTCTTTTTTTTTTTTTTTTTTTTTTTAAACCAATAAAACACATGAAGAAAAACCCATAGTTGAACGCAAGGCCAACATTGCTAGGAAGCAACAACGAGAGACCAAAGAATCCAACTGGAGGAGAAGGGGGAGGGAGGAAGGGCAGGAGCTGACACGCTGCAGCTGGAAGGGGCTTTTGCTCACCAGGTTGCCAATCCACATGGAATGGTGAAGGAAAAGGGATGGTCCTCTGCTCACTGACTTCAAGTTTCAAACCAGTTCCAAGTATGTTGGTTTCTTCACCAGAACAAAGATTAAAAGTGCACAAGGAGCAGAGGTTAGCAAGGAGAGCCAACTCCTCAGGCTCTGGATTCCCTACAACAACCCAATTTTAACCTTTCGTCTGAAAGTCACGCTCAGCCTGCACAGAATTCTGACAGGCCTCGCTTTCAGAAAGGTCGATACAGGCAAATTTGGTTTTTAAGGTTTGGCACTTTTGCATTTGCCAGCCAACAGAGACAGGAGCCAGTTCTGCAGGAACACTTCACTGGCCAAGCTGGAGGCACACGAGCAGCTGCTCACTAAGGAAAGCACACGTGCTAACACTGCAATCTTCTCACACGTGATACAGTCACAGACAGCTCCAGGTGACGTGGACAGGTCTGACCCATTCCTACCCCAGTCCAGGAGGAGGTTTTAGAACTCAGCAAGAGCCACTGAGCAAAGCTCAGCCCTTCCCTCCCCTCCCCTGAGCCACTTCTCAGGCCAACAGCCACCCCAAGCAGGTGCCCCACAAGGTACAGCACCTTTCCTAAATCCCTGTGCCCACAGCTTCCCACGATGCAGAGTCACTCTGCAAAGAGACAGATGCCAAGATCCCTCCTCCTGTGCCAGGGCAGCAGCTCTTAAAGAAAGGGGAAGGTACAAAACAAGACAAAAAAAAAAAAGTTTCTGATTCAAGTGGAAGTACCACCATCATTCAGCTTGGAAAAGAGAAACTTCTGGGAAGTTATTTTCCAAGAACCTGTGTATGTCAGTGCCAGGCTCATTGCTGGCAACAGCTGTAGTGTGAACCATTTACAAAAGGATCACAGAAGCAGAAGAGGTTGGTGCTGCTGTCTGCTTCAGAGGAACAGCACTTAGAATACATGAAGATGATTATAAATTCCTCTTTATAAGACAATTTCTACAAACTGGATCATTTTGGCATAAAGATGAAAAAAAAAAAAACAACAAAACAAAAAAAAAGCAGTAAAATTGATGCAAAGCTGTCTGACACATGGGAATCCCTCCTCATTCCTCCCAAGGGTTAAATGCAGTCCAGAGCATGGCTAGTCTAGAGAGATGCTATGTTTCCCTCAGCATCACCACTCAGACTGGCTCTTCAACTGTTGGTCCCATGGCTACTGTTCCAACTCGAGCTCTGGAATCACCTGGAGCAGAGCTTGCTTTGCTCTGTAGCACTCTGAGCACACAGAGGCTTCTGGAAAATGAGGGAGCTATCAACAGAATCACTCAAAATTATGTCCCTCCACGGTTTAGTGTTCTAGATCAAAGCATCTTAAGCATCTCAGACAGTCAGATTTACTCTTACAACGTTGTGCAAAACACTGATGTAGTGCTCTGTCTACAAAAGAGACAAAATATCAACAGCCCCCTCCAACAGTGCAGCTCCTTCAGTCTTTTTTTAGTCTTTTTTCTATGGGCAGCCTTCGAGGGGGCAGTTTGGTTGATCCGGAGAATTTGGACCCGATTCTTGTTGTTGGAATTGAAACAGAAGCATCAGTGACTGACACACACCCAGTGGGTCTCACCTCCTGCTTCCCACACCCTCTCTCCCTGCCTTGCCAATGCACCTCTTCCTCCCTTCAGCAGCCCTTCAGCACCTTGATTTGCCTCAGCTCAGCAAAATAAAGCTCTCCCAAGTGCAAAGGCTTCATTCACCTCCTGCTCAGTGGAGATTCAGGTGGCATTGAGAATCCACGATTTCACCCACTCTGCCTCCCTGCTAGCGCTGCTGCCTCTCTCCTCTCCCTTCAGCACCTTGATTTGCTTCAGCTCCTGCAAAATAAAGCTTTAAAGCTCTCCTGTGTGCAAAGGCTTCTCCTCCTGCTCAGTGGAGATTCAGGTGGCATTGAGAATCCACGATTTCACCCACTCTGCCTTCCAGCTGGTGCTGCTGCCTCTCTCCTCCTCTCCTGCTGCACCAAGCACAGCCAGGGCAGGGCTCTCTGGATTCTGCAGCAGCCACTGCTAACAATTAACCACTGCTAACAATTCATTAACCACTGCTAGCACCCTGCAGCAAGGATGTGTGCAAATCCTCCAAAGAGGATCCCAAACTCCTCCAAAGAGGGGGAATGCATCAACAGGAGGGACAGAACTCCCTCCAAGAGCCATCCTCAAGCTCCAAAAGGAACAATCCTGGCAGAGCCTCTCGCCCTCCAGCTCTGGTCCTCTCAAACTCTGCAAGGCTGAGGAATTCTTACAAAGTCATTCACACACTGGCACAAAATGCAATTAAAACAAGGCTTGATTGCTATTAGGCAGCAAGAAAAGACCTAGAGGATGGCACAAGATTAAGGTTTTCAATCCAGGCAAAGTCTGATGTTGGAGTGCCACAATCACTCAGTGTGCTTTTGGTAACTGCTGCATAGAGAAGTTGCTCATTGATGGCAAAAACTCTTCCCAACAAAACAGTTCCTCTCTGCAGACTGAGCCCTGTGCACACATGGCCACGTGCTTGTGGTGTGGGTGGGATGTGTTTGTGTGTGTGTGCGGGGAAAAAAAATTTAAAAAAGCAATAAAAGTGAAATAAAAATGAAATTAAAAAAGAACAATTACAGTCAGGCACTTCCCCAGGCTCAGCAGCTATTGCTCCAAGAGCTTCCATCATTTGTAGTCCATGAACAAAATACAGCAACACATAGCAAACTATGTATAGAACATCAATAATTTAAAAAAAAAAAATCACAGTCTCCATACCTTTTATAATTGATAACAAAAAATTACTCAGAACATATAAAGAATGGAAAAGTGATGGCTTTTTTTTTTTTGTATGTTTGTTTGTTTTGCCTTTTTCTTTTTTTTTTTTTTCTTTTTTTTTTGCACAATAGTTGGAGAGCAATTGCTCCTCCCCAACATTTCATCACAGTGAACCATGGAGCGTGTCCTGGGGAAGGGAAAGGAAAGAAGGAGGGGAAGGAAGCAGGATTAACAAATTACACCAGAGGCACCCTCTAGCACAAGGCAAAGGGACCAGTAGCATTCTGCACTCCCACAGTCCAGTGAATTCACAATCTCAGCTGGGAAGTGTCGGGGATTTTTGTTTTTCTCTACGTATACCATGGGAATGAAAGGGGGGAAAAAATTAAAAATAAAAAAAAAAAGTGGCTTAGCAACAAAGGAAAGATCAAGATGAGGCTGCCTTAGCTGCTTGGCAAAAATTAAGAAGTAAGCAAGGTGCTGAAGAAATGAGGCATATCCCCGTTAACTGTGACATAAAAGCAATTTGTTAAAAATATGAAATCAACTACTCTGTGGACAGAGACATGAGACTCCAGGATAACACCGAGCACTTGCCACTCCACAGATCAGACAATTTGCAATCATTACATCATCAAAAATTAAAACTTTTTTTTTTTTATCCTGTCATATTTAAAATTTCTTTTTTTTTTTTTTTTTTTTTGGGTTTGTTTTTTTTTTTTTTTTGTCTTTTCTTCACAAAGAAGCCTCTCAAGGGGCAAGAGCAGAGCAGGTCAAACCAGGTTGTATTCCTTCAGGTTGAGCTGTAGGATGGTGTCCTTGACAGCTGCAAAGACGAACCGGATGTTTTCTGTGTCTGTGGCACATGTGAAATGGGAATAGATGATTTTATCACTGTCGGGATTTAAATCCACAAACATCTTGAGGATGAACTCACGGGCTGCCTGTGCATCCCTCTGTGGGCCTGCAGCAAACAGAGACACCAGTGAATGCTTCCACTCCCCCAGATCCAGCAGCACCTTTTTCCTAAGGGTTACAGAGCTTTAAAGATGAATTTAAGATTATTTATGGGATCAAAGCTCCAGGAGATGAAGTGTCTTGTGCTTTTCTGGGCACTCTGCAGTTTTGATGGGTCAGTTCAGATCCTGCTTTGGAATTTAGAGCCAGGGTGGGAGCATCCTCTGGGAAACAGTGGCAGATGCTGGACAGACACCCCCAAATGCTCTCCCATGGAAATGGGGTGAACATTTCTTCCTAATATACAGGGAAACCAGTGAATGGTTTCACTCCCTTAGCACTTTTTCCCTGAGGGTTACAGAGCTTTAAAGATGAAATTAAGATTATTTATGGGATCAAAGCTCCAGGAGATGAAGTGTCTTATGGTTTTCAGGTGTTTAACCAACCCCCTGGGCACTCTGCAGTTTTGATGGGTCAGTTCAGACCCTGCTTTCAATTCAGACCCAGGGTGGGAGCATCCACTGGGAAACAGTGGCAGATGCTGGACAGACACCCCTGAATGCTCTCCCATGGAAATGGGGTGGACATTTCTTCCTAATATACATTTTTTCCTAATATACAGTGAAACCAGGGAATGGTTTCACTCCCATGCATCCCCCAGATCCAGCAGCACTTTTTTCCTATGGTTACACATCTTTAAAGGTGAAATTAAGATTATTTATGGGATCAAAGCTCCAGGAGATGAAGTGTCTTGTGCTTTTCTGGGCACTTTGCAGTTTTGATGGGTCAGTTCAGACCCTGCTTTGGAAATCAGATCCAGGGTGGGAGCATCCACTGGGAAACAGTGGCAGATGCTGGACAGACACCCCCAAATGCTCTCCCATGGAAATGGGGTGGACATTTCTTCCTAATATACATTTTTTCCTAATATACAGTGAAACCAGGGAATGGTTTCACTCCCGTGCATCCCCCAGATCCAGCAGCACTTTTTTCCTATGGTTACACATCTTTAAAGGTGAAATTAAGATTATTTATGGGATCCAAGCTCCAGGAGATGAAGTGTCTTATGGTTTTCTGGGCACTCTGCAGTTTTGATGGGTCAGCTCAGATCCTGCTTTGGAATTTAGAGCCAGGGTGGGAGCATCCACTGGGAAACAGTGGCAGATGCTGGACAGACACCCCTGAATGCTCTCCCATGGAAATGGGGTGGACATTTCTTTCTAATATACAGGGAAACCAGTGAATGGTTTCACTCCCTTAGCATTTTTTTCCTAAGGGTACAGAGCTTTAAAGATGAAATTAAGATTATTTATGGGATCAAAGCTCCAGGAGATGAAGTGTCTTATGCTTTTCAGGTGTCTAACCAACTCCCTGGGCACTCTGCAGTTTTGATGGGTCAGTTCAGACCCTGCTTTGGAAATCAGAGCCAGGGTGGGAGCATCCACTGGGAAACAGTGATACCCCTAAATGCTCTCCCATGGAAATTTTTTCAGGTGGATCTCACAGGCTTAAAGACACAAGAGTCAATTTTGGGAACAAGGGTTATTGCCAGTCAAAATACAGTCAGCCTGATCCAGCTGGTCACCTCACAGGAGCTGAAAATGGGGATTTGGGCCAGTTTTTAATTCACATTGCTGACAAGTCCCCAGAAAAGAGTCACCTACTGCAATTTCTCTCCCAGGACTGCTGTTGTTGCATGGCAAACACCATCTCTTGAGAGGAAATCTGATGGGCAACCTCCCATCAACCTCCCTGAAGGAGCTGCTTGCAGGAAAACATGGAAGTACAGGACACCCCTGGAAGCTGGGATCTGCCTCCAGCTGGTAAAGCTCCATTTGAGGTTTGGAACCCAACAAACTCCATTCCCTGTCAGGGATGCAGCTCTTCAGCCACTCCCAGCCTGCTGGAAAAACTTGAGCTCCAAGCAGGAACTCCAGATGTGGGAGGAAACACCAAGAGCAATTTCATTGGTCCTCTAAAAGATAAAAGCTGTTTGCAAGATGGTAATTCTTCCTTTACCTCATCTTTTTTAAGCAAATAATTACAGAATTAATACATGAGAGCGTGGCAAGAAGAGTGTTGCCTGATTTATCCTTCACCACTTTGATTTTATTTTCAGCCCTGTACAGATGTGTTACCAGCCAGCTTTAAATGCACTCAGCTGAAGAGCTTGAAATAATATTTTGGCTAAGGAGTTTTGTTTCAGATGGGAAATTCTCTGTTTCACATGGATATTATTTCCCCACAACAGCAGATGGCAAGCTAATAAGAATTTCAAACTGCAGGAAGATTTTTTTTTTTTAGCACCATCATTTAAACAACTTGGATATTTGACCACTTGGTTTCTCAAAACAAAGACTCAAGTCACCTCTTAACTAGAGGGTTAAAAGAGCCAGAATATCAGTAAATTGTCATGGGTATGAAACTGGTTTTATTTATTTAACTGGTAGAAGTTTAGACTTCCATTGTGCATATTGGAGGGGATAATTCTTCATCTAGGAGAAGCTCATTATTTGATCAACCTATCAGTTCCACTTGTCTATATATGATTAAGATATTTTTGTGATGTTTTCTTATTGCTGTAAGCATTTTTTCTCCAATTAATGCCTTCTCCACTTGTATATCTGAGTGCTCTTTAAAAAATAAGTCAATTTTAATTAAATCACCTCCACCCCACCAAGTGTTCCCTCTTAAAATCCACTCACCATCAAACTCTGGGAAATAGTCAACAAGGTGGGAATACAGGATCTTGTCTTCCAACAAATCTTTCTTGTTGAGAAAGAGGATAACAGAAGAGTTTTGGAACCATGGATAAGTTATAATGGTTCGAAAGAGAGCTTTACTCTCTTCCATCCGGTTCTGAAAGCAGAAAAACAAAACCCTGGTTTTATACAGGAGCACTAAAATCCCTTCTGCTGCCTGCACATGCACTCAGATCTGTAGGAATTCAGCATCTCAAACATTATACACAAAATAACTTTGGCCCCAGGTAGAGTCTGGTTCAAGCTGGATCAGTAAATGGAAAGGAAATGCAAAATCTGAGGGACTCAAGGTTCATTTATTTGCCAAGCCTTTCACATCAAAAGACTTAAAAGTCATTTTATGCTTTAAGAGTCATGTGAGAGGACTGTCCAATGGTAATTTGTGAGCATCTTTTGTCTACTAGGAAAAGAGCAACTATTTTTATCTAATAGCATGTTTTTGATCTATTAGCAAGTGCTAAAATTCAGATTTGCACCTTCAAAGAGTGCAGCCACCACCTCACAAGACAGCAAAGCCTGAAGTAACTCAGTGCAGGAGGGGAAGGGGTGATTTGGGAGCACAGTGCATGGCACAAGGGACTCTGCAACCGCAGATAATTCCATTTTTCACTTGAGAAGTCCAGATGATGTGAATGCCCTCTGCCTTTTCCATCCTCAGGGACAGCATGACCTGTGGAGGCTCATGTTCCCTTTGCAACAAGAACTGAAGGCCAAAACCAATAAGAGCAGCTAATCCAACTTGGCACCAAGCACCTGGGTACCAGCCTTCAAGGAAATACAAAGAAATTCCTCCCTCTTCTCCTTTCTTCCTCCCTCCTGCAGAGTTCCCACTCTTTGGCTCACCTCATTATCAGATTCCACCAGAACTTGGTCATATTCACTAAGTGCTACTAAAAACATGATGGAAGTCACATTTTCAAAGCAATGGATCCACTTCCTTCGTTCTGATCTCTGACCTCCAACATCCACCATTCTGAGGAAGAGAAATAAATAAGAATATCACAGAGGCAGCTGCAGTTCTCTGAATGCAAAGGAGCAGCAAACAATGAGAATTCATTTGGTTCTTTACCATTCCTATTAAGCTGGCACAGGGATGTGACAGCATCTGCCTGTTAAAAAACCATCCAATTTACAAAATATGCTCCAGAAATATAGCAAACTGAAAGAATGGCCACAGGTGGGTGATGCCAAATTCACCCTTCACCATTTTTGTTGCATTCTGCTCTGGTTTGCTCAACAGCAGCCCTGAGTCTGAAAAGACAAGTCCTTCAAAACTGTGCTCTGTCACATGAGCAAACTATTTTTATTTTTAATTAAAGCACCTGCTTGCCTGAAAGCTTCTCCCCCACCCAAATCTTTCTTTAGTTGTTACACTTTTATTGGAATGTGCTGCTTGACTGTCAAGCACTTCAGCCTCTCAATTTCAAGTCCCACCTGCACACTAAAGTTCACCAAAGTTATTCTGGCACTCACCTGAAGTGCCACACGTGGTTCAATTTGAGAAAATCCTACACCTACTCCCAGTTTGTTTTTTTTTATTTTTGCTGTTTTTCTACTCAGCAAACCAGAACAGGGAGAGGAGAACTCTGCATTTCTGTAACCAAATGGTTTAAAAGAGGGGATGCAGGTTCTTTTATTCCTCTCTGGCAATGCCACATTGTGGTGGGGAAGGGCAGAGAGCAACACAGGAATATTGCTGGGTTCAGCCTGGTCATGCCAGGCTCAGTTTCTGCTTTCAGCTTGCAAAGATTCTCTGTTGCAGCAGCAAGTTTTGGTGCCACCCTGAGAGCACAAGGCGGGCACAGAAAATCAGCTCTCAAGGCAGGTGCTGGATACAGGGAAGAATTTCTGCACAAAAAGTGTCAGCCCTTGGTGGCTTCAGCTCTCAGCACATCCCTCAGCTGCCTCACAAATCACAATTTCAGCAGTGCAATCTTTCCCAGCAAGGACACCAAGATGGTTCCCTGGGTTTTGAAGTGTCACTGATTCAAAAGCAAATGAGTTGTGAATTTTGAGTTTTGAATTTTCTGAGTTTCCAAAACATCAGACCTCCCCAATTAGAGCAGAAACCATCACACATCCACTGAAACCATGTGGACACACTGAAGCAAGCCCAAGTTTATCCTTCCTGAAACCATCTCCCTGCTGGCCCAGCTGAGCTGTAACATGAAGACACCTCCAGTACCTAAGGATAATATTCTCTAGTCCAAGGGGTACTCTGTGATCCCAGTTGTAGGGACTCTAACCTGTAGCACATCTCACTGAGTTGCCTCACAAATCACAATTTCAGCAGTGCAATCTTTCCCAAGAAGGACACCAAGATGGCTCCCTGGGTTTTGAAGCAGATTGAGTTTTGAAGCAGGTTGAGTTTTGAATTTTGAATTTCTGACAGCCAAAACATCAGCCAAAACATCAAAACATCCCAATTGGAGCAGCACCCATCACACATCCACTGCAGCAAGCCCCAACTTATCCTTCCTGAAAGCATCTCCCTGCTGGCCCAGCTGAGCTGTAACATGAAGACACCTCCAGTACCTGAAGATAATGTTCTCTAGGTCAAAGGGGTACTCTATGATCCCAGTAGTAGGGACTCTAACCTGTAGCACATCTTGCTGAGCTGCCTCACAAATCACAATTTCAGCAGTGCAATCTTTCCCAAGAAGGAGACCAAGATGGCTCCCTGGGTTTTGAAGCAGGTTGAGCTTTGAATTTTGAATTTCTGACAGCCAAAACACCAGACCACCCCAATTGAAGCAGCACCCATCACACATCCACTGCAGCAAGCCCAAGTTTATCCTTCCTGAAACCATCTCCCTGCTGGCCCAGCTGAGCTGTAACATGAAGACACCTCCAGTACCTGAAGATAATATTCTCTAGTCAAAGGGGTACTCTGTGATCCCAGTTGTAGGGACTCTAACCTGTAGCACATCTTGCTGAGCTGCCTCACAGATCACAATTTCAGCAGTGCAATCTTTCCCAGCAAGGACACCAAGATGGTTCCCTGGGTTTTGAAGCAGGTTGAGTTTTGAATTTTGAAATTTCTGCCAGCCAAAACATCAGAGCACCCATCACACATCCACTGCAGCAAGCCCCAATTTATGCTTCCTGAAAGCATCTCCCTGCTGGCCCAGCTGAGCTGTAACATGAAGACACCTCCAGTACCTGAAGATAATATTCTCTAGTCCAAGGGGTACTCTGTGATCCCTCTGTGAGGACTCTGTGAGTTGTAGGGACTCTAACCTACAACTCCCTGGGTTTTGAAGCAGATTGAGTTTTGAATTTTGAATTTTCTTCCAACCAAAACATCAGAGCACCCCAATTGGAGCAGCACCCATCACACATCCACTGCAGCAAGCCCCAGTTTATCCTTCCTGGAACCATCTCCCTGCTGGCCCAGCAGAGCTGTAACATGAAGACACCTCCAGTACCTGAAGATAATGTTCTCTAGTCCAAGGGGTACTCTGTGATCCCAGTAGTAGGGACTCTAACCTGTAGCACATCTCACTGAGTTGCCTCACAAATCAAATTTCAGCAGTGCAATCTTTCCCAAGAAGGAGACCAAGATGGTTCCCTGGGTTTTGAAGCAGGTTGAGCTTTGAATTTTGAATTTCTGACAGCCAAAACATCAGAGCACCCCAATTGGAGCAGCACCCATCACACATCCACTGCAGCAAGCCCCAATTTATCCTTCCTGAAAGCATCTCCCTGCTGGCCCAGCAGAGCTGTAACATGAAGACACCTCCAGTACCTGAAGATAATGTTCTCTAGGTCAAAGGGGTACTCTATGATGCCGGTTGTAGGGACTCTAACCTGTAGCACATCTTGCTGAGCTGCCTCACAAATCACAATTTCAGCAGTGCAATCTTTCCCAAGAAGGACACCAAGATGGTTCCCTGGGTTTTGAAGCAGATTGAGTTTTGAAGCAGGTTGAGTTTTGAATTTTGAATTTCTGACAGCCAAAACATCAGAGCACCCCAATTGGAACAGCACCCATCACACATCCACTGCAGCAAGCCCCAACTTATCCTTCCTGAAACCATCTCCCTGCTGGCCCAGCTGAGCTGTAACATGAAGACACCTCCAGCACCTGAAGATAATGTTCTCTAGGTCAAAGGGGTACTCTGTTGTCCCAGTTGTAGGGACTCTAACCTGTAGCACATCTTGCTGAGTTGCCTCACAAATCACAATTTCAGCAGTGCAACCTTTCCCAGCAAGGACACCAAGATGGTTCCCTGGGTTTTGAAGCAGGTTGAGCTTTGAATTTTGAATTTTCTGCCAGCCAAAACACCAGAGCACCCCAACTGGAGCAGCACCCATCACACATCCACTGCAGCAAGCCCCAGTTTATCCTTCCTGGAACCATCTCCCTGCTGGCCCAGCTGAGCTGTAACATGAAGACACCTCCAGTACCTGAAGATAATGTTCTCTAGGTCAAAGGGGTACTCTATGATGCCGGTTGTAGGGACTCTGACCCGTAGCACATCCTGCTGAGTTGGTAGATATCCTGGGGTGGCAATACGATCCACATCGCTGAGATAGCTGCAAGCAGGACAGGGGGAAAAAAAATAACAAAGGAAAAAGGAAAAAACTACCTTAGGTTGCAGCACATAGAGATACAGATGTGCAAAGTGCTACTTGAAGTCTTTCTGTAGAGTAATGAGAAAGGCAGGAGCTGTCTGAATGATTTTAAATATGGTGTGGAAACTAAGTAGAAAATATTTTTGGGGATATTTGAACAGTAATTCACCAGCCAGATACACTAAAAACAACTTTATCCACTCTGTATAGGAGTGGGGAAGACAATCTTTACTACAGAGGAAGTTTAGATGCTTCATGTTTCAGGATCAAGTCCCTTCTGAGGTTTTCTAAAAAACATCCTCTGTACATTGCCAAACTTAATGGATTTGTAATGAATAAAATCTGAGTTACACATGGTAAACTTGATGAGAAGGAGCAGCACTCCTGCTGCCCAAGAGCCAGGAGGATCAATACAGATGGAATAATGTGGAGATTCTGGCCCCAGGTACATCCTGAAGCAGATGTATGAACACCCTTACACCCACCAGACTCCCAGGAAAAGCAGCAAATAATAAGGAAACAAACTCTGGACTTTAATAAATAAAATGTGGACAGGTCTAATTTGTTAGAGCATCACTCCCACCACAAGCATGCCAGGGATTGTATACTTACTATTTAGCTGAGTCAGAAAGTTGATATTCTCTTCTCCTGTCATAGCATTCTTGTATTCCAGGGTCATTCCACAATGTTTTAATTGCACTTACATATGGTTGCTCAAATGTCATGACCTTTTCTACATCCACTTCTCTGATCAGCACTGCATTGGCCTGCAGATTGAAAAGAAGAAGAATAAAAGAGAGAAAATTTTTTTAAAAAAAAACAAAATTGGGGGATATAAAAACCCCCACCCTACAATGGCTAAGCAAAGGAAGGAGTACAGCAACTACCACAGCCTGTGGTGTCTGTGAGGGGATTATCCACACCTAGGGGCTTTTGCCAATGCCCCCAATAAATAAAAACCAAAATGAAGTTCTGCACAAGTTACAGCAAGCAAAAGCTGGCAGATTTTATTTATCAGAACCATGCCTCACTTCAAGCACAGGGAAAGCTTTCTCACACTCTGCCTGTTCTCACCACAGACAGGAAAGGGGCATCATCTAATCCCTACAAACAATTATTCAAAATCAGCTCCAAGACACCCTGTGATAGGTCAGATAAAACACAACTTCAAAATATTAAGGATACTAAGCATTAAAAAAAGCAAAATATGCTAAAAAAAAATCTATTTTCCTGGCGTGCCCTCACTCTCACTGTCCTCCCCCTCAAAAAGAGAAAATAATTTAGATCAGATCTATCTAAAATTAATTCCTGGTCCCAAAATCAGCATGTTTCTGTGGTTGAGACCAAAATTCTTCAAGAAAGGTTTGTATCCTTGGTCAGGAGCTATCAGAAAAACAGAAGGATTGCAGAAACAGGGGTAACTACCAGCACAGGTCTGTTCTTTGGGGTCCAGCATGTATTTTGCCAGATTCAAGTTCCAATAAGAACAGCAACACATGCAAAGAAAATGCCAATACATTTAACAACCCTGAATCCTTGAAATGAGTAAAAATAACACCCCTGCTGTCCCTTCATACCCCAATCCCAACCACTCACTAGGCACACCAGTGCACCAACCATGCAAAGTTCTTCTGTCCCTTAACACAACCAAGTAAAAGGAGTTGGGTATCAAGAAAATGCCATAAAAAGTTTATAGAAAAAAAGTTCAGGGAGGTTGAAGTTGCAACACAGAAAGACACAAAGAAACAAGAACTCAAAATCCTCCTCACTGACTAAAGATTTGTGCAAAAACTGACCAACTTACCTTGTTCTGTTCATATTTGTACAGAATCTTCAGGGTTTCCATGGCTCTTATCATAGACTGCATGGCAGTGAAGATGTTTTGGTACACCAGCTTGGTGAAGCCTTTTTTGTCCTCTTCAGAGTAGCCTGAGCCATGAATTATACGCATTTGCTTAATGAACGTGCTCTTCCCACTCTCCCCAGTGCCTACAGGATGCAAGAGAGTGAATTAGGAGCCACCAGCAGCAAAATCCACGACAGATGAAAGCTCCTATTGCTACACCCAAGCACACACCACTCCCAAGCCTCTTTTTGTCACTTCTCAGACTGGTAAAAAGGCAGCCTGGAAGGAAGACACCTTGTCCTTTCCAGCAGCCTTCAGAAGTAGCTCTGGTACTTATTCCAAATCTCACGTTACAGCCACTCCCACACGTCCTGCGTCAAGAGGCCCTTGCCCGTCACACCTGACCTATTCCCAGATACTCCAGCAAGATGCTACAACAGCCAGGAAGGGCCTGGACACACTCTCAAGGCAGAAAAGTGCTACAGACCCAGCAGTGAATGGCCAGGAGAAGCCCAGCAACACAGCAAATTTTGTTTTGTTCTAATTTGGCACAAAACGTTCTTCGCTTTATACGCGGGAAGGGAAGAACCGAACACAACAGGAAAAAAATAAATCAACTCGAAAAGAGAACTGAGCTCAAGGAGCTCTCTCTGCCACGAACAAGGCAGGCAGCACATGGGCCTTGTATCCCAAATTTTTGCTGCCTGTGGCAGGATGGCTGCGATCCTGCTCTGGATGGGAGAGAGTTAAAAATGGCGTCTGGCAGGGAGAGCAGAGTAGGCCACTGCTCCAGCTGTCGGTGCCGTGCCTGGGTCCCCACGGGCTGCAGCCTGCTCTGCAAGGCCACTGCTTCCTTCTCTTCCTCCTTTTTCAGGTTTTACTGCCGGGCTGGGAGCAGATGGGAGGGCAGGACACGGCGCAGGGCAGCGCTTCCTGCACCGTCACTCGGGCAGGTCCTTTGCACTCCTACATTTATGGCCCCACACAGGAGTGTCACTCGGCGTGTGAAGGCCACCAGATGATACCAAAGGACAGTGGCAGCTTTCTAACAGGGTGAGCAGGAGGGAGAAACGCCATCAGATGTATCCAGGCAGTTAGGGGGAATTGCTAAATTCACAATTCAGCTGGGACGGCCCTGGTGACATCGCCCCGTGCACGGAGTCCTCGTGGAGGGGACACCCAGGCCAGGTCTCACCTGGGACCAGCTCAGCTCCACATTTCAGCAGCCTAAATGGACACCACTACATTTCTGTGCACTGCTTTTTGTTCCAGCTTCTAAAATTTGCTATCATTATGCAGGATATTGATAAAAAGCCCACACCTCTCTAACACAGTGGCCCAGCTCACCTGGCTACAGAGACCAAAAACTCAAAAACTCAAAATATATCACGTCAGTGATACAAATCCTTTTGACTTGGAGTTAAAATGCTGGCAGAGCCCTGGCTCTCCCCACAGGCACCACCAGATCCTCCTCACATCAGGGGAGAGATGGGTTCAGACAGGATCTCATTCATCCCAGAACACAATTAATACTCCCATGTAGATACTCAGTTACTCATTTTATCTTGGTAGGTAAAAAGGCAAACAAATAAAAAATGCTCAGATAAAAAGCAACAAGCACCTAACTAGAAGCAGAATGTTTGAAATGAACAGCAAGAACTGACAGAAATCACGTCAGCACAGCCAGAAATTAACACTGTAGACATTATCAATATGCAGCAAACTATCTCCATCTTGAATACAAAGGTGAACCCTAAGTGGGGGAAAAACTGGAAACTCAGCTCTTTCGTGGTTTCTGTCAGTGTGGTGAGAAATACTTCCTTGTCTTTTACCACAGTGACCAAAACTGAGAGGGAAAAAAAAAAAAGGTGGTGCTTCAAAGCATTTCAACAATGAAAATATAAAAGAAACCTCAACACCAGACCTTGGCTTGCCTCAGGACTTAAGGGTTCAAACACAGATTGTTCCTGTCACTCCATCACTGTCCTCTCTTGGTTTTGGGGGTTGGTTTTACTTATTGGTGGTGGGTTTTTGGTTTGGTTTTGGGTTTTGTTTTTTTTTTAAGTTGCCTTTTGCTCTCCCTGAGGCACAGCACTACAGCAGCAGGTGACAAGCTCTGGTGGGCAAGATCTCCAACTCTCAGAGCACAAAATCCCTTTTTAATATGACAGGAGATAATCTGAATTCACCACTTCTTCTGCCAACATGTGAAAGCAGCAGAGTTTACAGTAACTTCCTCATGATCCCCCAGCAAATACACTGCTCAGTCAACAGTATCCCATGCTTAATCACAAGTAATTTTTGTACAAAATATCCTCCCCTCCCAATAAAAAGACAAATTACTACTTTGTACCAGGTGGCAATGTCCAACACCTTGAATTTCTTATTAACAGGTTCATCATTGATCAGCACTTTTATTCTTCACCTTAATTTTCTGTTTTAGGCTTCAACAAAGTAACTGTCACCAGATGTAGTGACAAGAAAAACGTAACAGTTTCTACAAGGTGGAAACTGCCTCCACACATTCAAAATTTTGGAGATTTTGGGAAAGCCCTCTCATTAAGCCAATCATTAATACATGTAAATATAAGAACTGCATAGAACAGGAGCAACACAGAAGAAATCCCTGCAAGGAGGGAGAGAGAACACAGGTTACCTGTGCCAGCTGAGGGTGGGCAACGTGCTGTGACCAGTGAAAAGCATCCTGCAAACACTGTCTACACCCAAAGTGTTGCTTATCCAATAATAACCTCCTTCTGTATGTTTTGTTTTTTTTTTTAATCTGATGCTGAATTTGTATCTTTTAGAAAAGCAGAAAGAATTCTTGAGCAATTTGAATTCTTTCTGAAGTGAAATATTTAGATCCAGTGGGATCTTCTTAACCCAGATCTATCCTATAGCGACAACCTATTTTGACACAGCTGCTTCTGTGGGACTGCTTTTAGGGAAGCACGAGAGTGAGGAACAAGAAACCTCACAGAAACTGCCACAGCATCTCCAAAGAGCAGAAATGTGAAGCCCTCGATTTTACCTTTCACACAAAGAATAGCCACGCATTAACTGTGAAGGGTTCAGGGTGAAAAGGAAAGCCCTGGGGTTTATTTGACAGTTATCCCCAGGCACCAGCGTTGGTACTGGAGCCCTCCAAGGGGCTGGGCACACACACACTCCTGCAAAGTGGATTTTTTTCCACAAGGGTCAGCCTCCTTCTTCAGCCGGACCTTAATGCCTTGTCAACAGATCCATCGGATCTGCTTCACATTTCATCTCGAGATAATACAATATTCAAGACACAAAGCAGGATATATCTGACACACAAGCAACGCTAATCACGGCATGCATGAAAACTGAAACTTCAGTTTACATTTTGGGGCTACCTCGGCACGAACACCAAACTCACTGCTGCAGGAGGAGGCACACGCCTGCAAGACTCAGTTTGCAGCTGATTACCCATGCCTGGAAACTCATCTGAACACGGCACGGATGAAACTCCAGTTTCCACCCGCAGACCTAGATTCTCACGGCCGCACAGGTGATCTGCACCTCTGAACAGCACGGGCATCTCCCCATCGTGCATTCCCACTAACAGGGGAATGTCTGTTCCCTCCAGAACCTCCACACCGCCCTGCCCAGCCCTTGCCCCAGGGGAAACTCTGCCTTTAGGAGCTGCAGGCCCGTTTTTCCACACATCCTGAAAAGCACCAACTCCACCAGCGGATTCCCAGCGCACTGCTGAGAATCCTCTCCCCGAGACAAATTCGTGCGTGCCCGCCCTCAGCACCAGGAATTCCAGCCGCTTAGTTCCTGCTCGTGTCAAAACCCATTTTGACAGCGAACGCATCACAAAATCAAACAAAGGGCAGCCAATGAGGCGGCCGCCCCGCACGGCTCGGGAGCGGCCCCGAGCGCCGGGCTGAGGCGGGGATGGCTCCCGCCGCTTCCCCGCCACACCCGCTCCCCGCCCGGCCCGGCCCGGCCACCCGGACCTGCCGAGCCCCGGGCCGGGCCCCGCGGCAGCCGTTGAGGCGGGACCGGCGCCGCGCTCCGGACTCCCTCCCTCACTCACCCAGCAGCAGCAGCTTCAGCTCGCGGCGAGCGTCGCGCTTGTCCCTCCGCAGCTGCTTCTCGATCTCGGCGTTGATGCGCTTCGACTCCTTCACCTCGTCGCTCAGGCAACAGGCCATCATGGACTCCAGAGTCATGGTCGCGCCGCGGCCGGGACGCCCCCGCCCACCCCCCCACCCCCCCGGCACCGACCACCGTTCTCCGCACGGCCGGCAGCGCCCGGCCCGGCCCGGTCCCGCGTCCCGCGCCCCCTTCCCTCCCCACCCTCCCGCCCTGCGCGGCGCCGGCCCGGCCCGGCCTCGCCCCGGCCCCGAGTGCTGCGGCCGGGCCCAGCGCCAGCGCCGCCGCCGCCCCCGCGCCGCTCTCGCCCGGCTGCGCCGCCGCTCCCTCCGCACGGCTCCGCCGAGACACCGACGAGCCGGCGCAACCCAACCCGCTGCCGCCGAAAACAAGCGCTGACTGACAGCGGTCGGAACCAATGGGAGAGCGCGGCGCGCAGCGGGGCGGGCCCGGACGGGCGGGACGCGGCGCCGCGACCAATGGGAGCGCAGGGTTTGGTTGGCCGGTCGCGGGGGGGGGGCGCACGGACGCGCGTTCCTGGAGCGGGGCGGGGCCGCCGGGCATTGTGGGAAGGTGGCGGACCGGGCGCCCATGGCGGGGCGGGCCGGGATGGGAGCGGAGCCTCCCGTGACCGGGCGCGGCCGGGCCCAGCGCGGAGCCGCCGCCTCCCCTCGCCCGCTACGGGCCCGCGGTTGGGCCACGCCGGGCGGGTGGGGCCTTGGCGGCCGCTGGGATGGCGGCACAGGGCGGGCCCGGGCCCCGGACTTTGCGGCTCCGCTCGGAGCCGCCAGCGGTGCACGGAGCGGGCCGGGCCCGAGCTGTGAGGGACGGGCGCGGCTCAGCCCGCAGACCCCGGTAGCCCAGCCCTCAGGGCTGAGCTGCGAGAGGCTGAGGCCTCACGGGCCGGCCCTGAGCTCCAGGCTCCGGCCGTGTCCCGGCAGAGCCGCACCGAGCCTGTCCGCCGAGCTCTCGGTGCCCTCTCCCGAGGTCTCCACACAGCGTCTCAGGGCTGCCTTCAGCACAGGTTTCCTCATTGCTTCCTACCAGGTGCCTGTTGACCTGTAGCAGCTCCTCCAGCCAGCAGCAGCCTGATGCATCCCCTCATCCACAGCCTTGTGTTGGTTCTTGTGCTGCCAGGGCAGCCTCACCTGTCAGAGCATCCCCTGTGCCAAACAGAGCAGCCTCACCTGTCAGAGCATCCCCTGTGCCCTCTGGGATCCTGCCCCAAGCAGAGCAGCTTCACCTGGACTCTCCACACACAACCACATATCCCCCTCTTGCATTCCTCTTACCCTGCCTTCCCTGGGGTCTGTATCTAAACAATCCTTTGAAGGTCCAAAAAAAGCACCACAGAGCTGTTCCATACCTGCCTTCCTTGTTACCAGCCTGGCTCGTGCAGTGGTTTGCCAGTCCTTACCTCTTGGCAGTTTGGCTGAGACAGAAACACAAGATACTCACAAACAGCAGGTTCTATTTTCCACTTAAATTCTCTCTTATACCTGTGCTATTCCCATGAGTTATTTGCCTCAGTTAAAATAAGTTTCTAAAATTTTTTTTCATAGTTTGGCCTTTAACAGCATCAATACTGACCTCCCTTTGTTCCATTCTCTTATTTCCCTCCCAGAAAACAGCCAGGAGAACTGTTCCTCCCTCATCACACACCTCTGGCAAAGGCCTCATGCTCATTTTGCTTTGGCAGCTGGAAATTATTCAGACAGAAGTGCTCAGCACACCCAGGATCCAAGCCACAGTGGCTGCTCCCTGTGACCTGCTGCCCTTTGGAACTCCTGGACAGCCCTAAAGGAGCCTGAAGTTCCTGCAGCACTGTCCTGACTGGGAAAGCCACTTGAGCTCTTTGCATGTCCTCAGGCTCTGAGGGTGACACAGGTGACACTCTGGGGCTGCTGAAGAGCCCCAAGGTGGGATTGCTGGGCTGCTCTGTGTTGGAAGCTTGTTTTGGTTGCCTTCTCTTAGGCAGGATGAAAATCTAAAGGCCAGCAGATCCTGAGGAAATTTCCACAGTTTGCCAAAAGAAAAGGAGAAATAAAATTTGCATCCAGCCTCTGGAGCACCTGCTGGGTCCTGCTGATGGGAAGTTTGGGTCCACAGATGTTGAGTTTTGATGAGTCCTGATCAAAGTGATGATTTAAGAATGACAGAACTGCCAGTCTGCAAGCAACAACAGCCCATCCACTCCCTCCCTCCCTTTCTGCCCTAATGGAAAAGTTTTGGTGCTCAGAGAGTTCCCAGGAGATTTGAGATTTCCCTCAGCTGTGTCACCAGCGTGCTGTGCAATTCCCTGGGCTCCATGTCCCTGTTCCTGCAGAAAGCTGATCCTGAACGTGCCAGGCCACTTGCAGAGCAGCTGTTCCCATGGCCCACATTTGCAGAAGTTAATGCTAAGCCCAGAGGTCTCCCCCATTTGTTTACAGAGAGGAAGAGCCCATGGAGATGCAGGCACATCTCAGTACCATCCTTTTCTCCATTCTGGCCCCATTTCTCATCTCTTTGTGGGTTCCAGAGGGGAGCAGGCATTGCCAGCAGGTCAGGGGGGAGATCCTGCCATACAATGGCAATGGTGAATGTGCCAGGCTGTTCCCATGGCCCACATTTACAGCAGTTAAAGCTGAGCCCAAAGATCTCCCCCATTTGTTTACAGAGAGGAAAATCCCCTGGAGATGGGATCCCAAGGCCATGGAGATGCAGACACATCCCAGTCCCATCCCTTTTCTCCATTCTGGCCCCATTTCTTAGCTGATTGTGGGTTCCAGAGGGGAGCAGGCATTGCCAGCAGGTCAGGGAGGAGATCCTGCCATACAATGGCAAAGGTGAACTTCCAGAGCAGCTGTGGAAGCAACTTCAGGCCACTCCCAGAGCAGCTGTTCCCATGGCCCACATTTGCAGCAGTTAAAGCTGAGCCCAAAGATCTCCCCCATTTGTTTACAGAGAGGAAAATCCCCTGGAGATGGGATCCCAAGGCCATGGAGATGCAGACACATCCCAGTCCCATCCCTTTTCTCCATTCTGGCCCCATTTCTTACCTGTTTTTGAGTTGGCATTGCCAGCAGGTCAGGGAGGTGACCCTGCCATACAATGGCAATGTCTCCTGGCCAGGTGATAATTGGCATAAACTCCATGATTCACAGAAGGCTGATCAATAGTAACCCTATTTAAAAACCCATTATTCTTTTAGAGACAGTTATGATGCAGGTGTACTTGATTGGTCCTTTAATTAAAACACCATCACCATTAGTTAATTAGGAAACCACCTTTCAGTAAACAAATCTCCATAACCCATTCCCCATGTTCACAATACCAGGTACAACAAGCTAAGAATTGTTTCTCATTTTTTTTATCTGATCTTCTCACAGACTTTCCCAGAATAATACCTGGGAAATTTATCTATTTCTCTCTGTGGCCAAGAGCTGCTGCCACACTGAGGGAGCTGTGCTCAGCCTGGAGAAGACCAAGAGAGGATTTTACCAATTTTACCAATATCCATAAATATCTGAAGGGAACTGCCAGGGGATGGAGCAGTTTCTGCTCAGCAATAGGAACAATGAGCAGAAGCTGATGCACAGCAAGTTCCACCTTGAACATGAGGAAGAACTTTCCTGTGCTGCTGACACAGCACAGGTTGCCCAGAGTGCTTGCAGAGCCTCCTTCTCTTGTGATATTCAAAGCAGGAATGTGTCTGGGCTGATGGGGACCAGGGACCCAGCTGCAGAGCACGTGTCAAATGTTTCATCCTCCCCCAAAATTAATTTTACAAGTTCTGCAATTGCCTGTCACAGGAAGATGCCACGAGATTGGAGTTCTCTGAACAGAGGAGGAAAGGCACTGAGATCAAACAGCACTGACAAATGCAGCCCGTGACAGCAATTGCTGCATTAGTTTTTTTAAACCTTATGTTTCACATCTGGTTTGTCATGGTGTTGTAGGTGGGCTCAGTGCACAGTAAACTAGGATAACAAACCTACATTTTCTGTGATCCTTTCATCCCTTACCATCCCAAAACACATCATTTAATTGCACTCAACCTGCACAGAGATTTCATAAATAAAGTAATGGTGAATTAGCATAGCTGCTGCAGCATTCACACAAGTTCCTAAGACACAATCTCCTTGTGCAATCAATCCAGCCTCATGCTTCAGTGTTTGTCAAAAATTGAGGTCAGGAAGAAATGTTCTCCCTACCTGGAGGAGTGCACAGAACAGAGAGACTCTTGAGGGTGTAGCAATCTGTCCTCCCTGTGCAAACCTCAGAAAATGCTGCAAATGTGAATTTGGTGCAGCTCCAGTGCAGTAGATGAACACTGATCCTGCACAGGGGCAGGAGGAAAGCCTGGCTGACCCTTTTAACCCTAAAATTGGTATCTGGCTCCTCCCTTCGTCCAGCAAGGGAGGCAGAGGAGGGAGGGGAGGCTCCTGAAGCTGCCCTCAGCACAGCTGGGCTGGCTCAGATAGCTGCTCCTGTGCCCATTCCAGCCCCGGGGTCCCTCCCTTCAGGCTCAGTTTGGGTTCCACATGCAGAGGGATTCACGCTGCTGCTTCTGCAAACTGGGAAGCTTCTCATGACCAAAGGGTCAGAGGATTCCCCTGCACCTCCTGACTGTCTCACAGCTGCAAATTTGCTGCTTATCTCCCACCAAATGCCTCAGGGACACCACCCAGGGAGCAAGCAGGTTCAGGCACCCCTGCCATGTGCTTCCTAATCACGGCTCAGCTGCAAAATCCCTTTCCTGCTTCCTGCAAGGAGTGTGAACTGTTCCTTGCACTTTGGCTGGTAAAAAGGATGATAATTACCCTTAATCAGTCTGCAGCAAAAACACAGGCCACGGCAGAAGGGAGGGGTGGGGGGCAGCCACCATGAGGAATGGAGCCCAATTATTCCAAGTCACTGATAAAATGGGATCAAAGAGGGAAGGAATGTTTTACCAGCTGTAAAAAGCCTGCCTGGACCAAGGCTGCTCTTGGAGAAATGCCCTTGCTGCCTACAGGCCATTCCTGGCTGGGACCTTATGCACATCCAGGGACAATTTCTCATTTTTCTTCTTGGTGTAGGCGAGGAATTTGGGCTGCTGTTCATTTCTGCCTCTCAGAGCAAGCAGCAAGACAGTTTCAGCAGGAAATGAGCACGGAACCGTGGGCATACAGTGCAGAACAAATGTCCTGCCTGCTGCCCATGTGGGCACTGAGACTCTGCTGTGTCCCATCAGGGGCACCTGGGTGTGCCAGGGAATGGAGCAGCTGGGGCTGGGTGCTGATGGGGACAAGGGACAGTGCTGCTGGTGGCATCTGTGCCCTGCCAGTGCCACGTTTGTGCCTCCTCTGGCTCCCTGGGAACCCCACTGCTCATTCCAGCCTTTTTTTTCTGCAGCAGGGAGACCTGCACAGCTCCTAAGAGCAGCAGGAGGGTTGGGATGGTGAGGGAGAGAAGAAAAACAGCCCCTTATGTGCAAGAGGGACTTGAGAGGCAGGTTGTGTGTAAATCACTGCCAGGCCTGCCCAGCCCTTCCCTGGTGTCTGCCTGATTGTCTGATGCTATCTAGAGAAAGTTTAATATCAAAAGCCAATAATCCTGTGATAGGAGGGGTGATAAGGGACAGTCTGGTCTGGATGTGGCAGGGGGCCAAGGTCCAGTGCCTGCCCTGCCCATCCCATCCCAGACCTGGCAGGGCTGGGCAAAACAAAACAAAACAAATTCAAGAACCAGCCCTGCTGCTGGCAAAGAGGGGCTGGGGAGGCAGGAAGGGGAGAACTGTGAGCCCCAGAAGTGTGGCATGGGCTGGCTGTGGCTAATAACCCACAAAATGCCAGCACTGGCCCTTCTAAGATGCCTCACAGTTGCCTGAATATAGGGGAGCAGTGGGGGATTGCAGCCCAGGGAGGGACTGGGAGTTTCTTGGCAGGTGGGGTATCCAGGGCAGCTGAAGTTGAATGAGTTTGGTGGGTCTCAGCCCTGTTTCTACTGGAAGGAGGCCACAGCATTCAAATCAAAGTGAGGAGCAAAGGAGCTGCTGGCTGAGCCACCCCACACCCAGTGGGGTCCTGCGTGTGGTCAGCTTGAGGTGATGGCACTCAACAGACACCCTGAGGATGTGGAGAAAAGCAAAAAAACCTTCCTTGTCTCAGTGCCTGAATTGCTGCTGTGCCTTTTTTTATTTCTTCCTCTTTAATTCCAGGTAAAAGAGAGAGTATTCTCAGGGTAAAAGCAGGATCTCAGAGCCTACATTTTCATAATAATGACAGCATGGCTTTCACCTTGTGTCCAGAGCTTCAGAGCAGAAAATGTCTGTACAACCTCTCTCCTTGAACCAGTGCTGGAGTGGGATATAATACCTGAATAATTTACAAAGGCTCTTCATTACACAGATTTATTTTTGGCAGCTTTGTTAGACTGCTCCTTTTAGGAACTAATAGGAAGTTTCTCTGGTTTCATTAGGACATCCCTGTATGAATTGTTCCAGTGGGGCCAGGGACTGGGACAGCTTCTTGCTCCATTAGAAATGCAAAATGTTCCTGCCCTTTCTGTCCCCCTGTGGCTTTCTGGAAACCCACCTGCACACCCTGGTTGTAGCAAGAGTCCAGCTTGTCTTTATTCCTGGCAAAGATGTTGAAAGAGTGAGGGGTTTCCCCACCTTGCCTTCAAACAGCTTTGCAGCAGACAAATGTTGGTTCACTTGGAGAGCTCCTGCACAGAACTCCCTTTCCTGTGCTGGAAAAACCTTCATGTCTGAGGTGGGCTGTGGGAACCCCCCACTGTTCACCAGGCTGTGTTTGGGGCCACCTCCTCTGTGTTCAGACCTTGTCCAGCCCCTGACTCAGCCTGGGCCAGGCTGAAATCCCCTCTTCTTCAGATGCAGGTGCATTGCCCAGCTGGAAACAAGCCCATTAAAAAGTCATTTACCAGGCACAAGCGAGTTTGTGTTCCCCTGGATTGGGATTTGCCAAGATTATACCATAAATTAGAGTGTTTCCTGGAAGAATGTAAGGAGAGAGGAGGGAAAAAAAAAAAAAAAAAGATAAAATGGAACATTTTGTAGCCAACAGCAATGCCAATAAAGGAGCATTTCATTTCCCACTTGGAAAGGAGTGACTGCAAGCTGTTGCAAGGGTAGGGCAGGGTGCCTGTGCTGCTCCAGGACCAGGGGAAGGGGACAACAGGGACCTGGTCTGGCTGCATGCACACCCTGACTATAAATTGCATTTCTCTGCCCTTGAGCAGAGCCAAAGCTGGGGTGACTCAGTTTCTCTCCATGTAAAAAGGGGGACCAGGATGCCAACCCCACTGGGGGAAGACTGTCTGCCCTGTTTTCCAACCCTTATTCTGCAGGGACACAAAGCCTGCCTGCACTATTAATAATCCTTGGCATGAAGCTGTCACAGTTTCCACTAATATGGAGATGTTGAAGTGAAAAAGCTACTGCACAATATGCAGGAGGTGTCACAATAACTCAGCTGCTATATTGTTCTTTTTAAAAATAAATACCACAACAGGCCAGCCCACATTGCTGGAGTCATGACGTGTAGGGCTTTATTTTTAATCAGAAAATGTACTGATTTTTAAAGATAGACATGGAACAACATCCAAAATTTATGAAAGCTCCCTGTGTGCTCACACGTACCAACCATGCTCCTGCCCAAATGGCTTACAAGGACCTGATCTTACCCCAGCACGGGCACATTTGTGAGTGTGGCTTTACAAGAGGCCCCATGGCAATAAAATCCTTCCAGAAATAAAGTCTGTGGCTGAATTCCCCACCCCACTGCTCTCTGGGGGGATGCAATCGATCCCCCAGGACATGAACTGCAGGGTCCCCTCCTCAGGCAGCAGGTTTAGGACCAAAGTTTGCATCCAGAGCAGAACATCGCATTGTTTGGAGATCAGAGGTTTCTCTGGTGGCCACTTGTACGTGAATTGCCTTTTTCCTTTGCCTTCCCTCACGCTCAGCCAAGGGCAACGCTGAAATAAAGCAAAACGAAACTCTAGGTTAAAAAACGCCCGTTCTGCTTGGGGAAGGGCGAGAAAATGAGCTGAGAAGGGCGAGGAGCTCAGTGCCCGGCAAGGGCCGGTCCGGGGCTCCGGACCCGCCTCAGGCCAGGCGGACCCTGGGCTCGGAGGGGCTCGGGCAGGGACACCCGGCGGGCCCGGGGGCTCGGAAGGGCCGGGGGCTCGGGCAGGGACACCCCGCGGGCCCGGGGGCTCGGGCAGGGACACCCGGCGGGCCACAGCACCGGAGGCTGAGGGGGGCAAAGCCCGGCGGGGCAAGGCCCGTGCTGACCACGGGGCTGCATCCCCCGTGCCCCGCCGCACGGAGGGCCCGGAGCGGGGCTCGGAGCGGGGCCCGGAGCGGGACGCGGGGCACGGAGCGCGGCCCGGCCCGGTGCCCGCGGCCGGCGGCGCCGCTTGGCGGGGGCGGGGACCGGCGGGGGCGGGCGCGGCCGTGGGCCCGCCCGGGCCGGGGAGGCGGCGGCGGCGGCAGGTGGTGCCGAGCAGCCGCAGGACGGAGCCGGAGCCGCAGCCGCCATTAGACAATAGGCGCCGGCGGCGGGAGCGGCGCGGGGCGAGCGGCGCGGCCGGGGCGGGGCGGCCGCGGGGCCGGGGCGGCCGGACCCGGCGCGGACAAAGGCGGCGGCGGCGGCGGCGCGGGGAGCCGCGGCGGGGGCGGCAGGCGGCACCGGGCCGCTCCGTGCGGGGACCGAGCCGCAACCTGACATGATGTTTCCACAAAGCCGGCACTCGGTACGGCGCGGCCCGGGGCCGGAGCGGCCGCGGGGCGGGGCCGCGTGCCGGCGGGGCCGCGGGGGCTGCCCGGGGGCTGCCCGGCCTCCCTCGGCCCCGCGGGCTCCGGGGGATCGAGCGCCTCCCGCCGCCGGTGCCGAGGGGCGGCGGCAGGCGGGGAAGGGGCCCCACGGGTGACCTTGGGCGCGTCCCGGGCACGGGCGCTGCCCCCCGGCGGGGGCTCGGCCCCCGGGGCGGCGAGAGCGGGGCGGGCTCGGGGCCCGGCGGCCGCCGGCTCCGGCCCCAGCGCTGTCTCCTGTTGTTCAAGGGCTCCTCTCACCTGCCTCAGCAGCTGAAGTTCACGACCTCCGACTCGTGCGACCGCATCAAGGACGAGTTCCAGCTGCTGCAGGCCCAGTACCACAGGTACGTGCTGCCCCCCCGGGCCCGTCCCGGTGCACGGGAATCGCTCCGGTTCTTCCGCTCGTTGCTTCGCTCCGGGGACCGGGTGAGAATTTGGGGAAGGGGAGCCGGTGGCGGAGCTTGGGACAGCTTTGGCGTTGGTGGTGTCCACATGGGAGCCCGGCGAGGAGAACGCCCATTCCCCTCTCCAGCCAAGGTCTTTCCTCCAAGTGCTGCTCAGCCAGGACTGCACAGACACTTGCCAGGCCTCCTGCCTCTTGCTGGGAGTTTTCCTCAGTTTTTCTCGCTGGCTGCCATTCCTGGACTGCAAATACTGCAGGGAGCACTTAAATCCAAAAGCATCTACTTTTCTGTGAATGTGTGTGGAAATAGTGCTGCTGACCCACAAGCTGGCTTGAGACAATCTATTGCTTTGCCTGTGTGTGTGTCTGACATAAACACGAAGCCCTTCGGTTTAAATTGTCTGGGTGATGCCCTCTTCCACGGCCTGGCACTGATTTTGGTGTGTGCATCGGTGCCATGTGGCTGCAATGTCCCCCAGCCCCGGGCTCTGCCTGCGAGTTTGTGGTGGTGGTGTCATTTTGGCAGGAGCAGGCAGAAAAACTGCTGGGAAGTGGCCATTTCCTTGTGTCTCTGTGCCTTGGCAGTGCCAGCAGGGGAGTAGGGGTTCCTGCTGAAAGGGAAGCTTTCCCCCCATGCCGCTCCACCCCCTTGGACTTAATCTGCTCAAGAAGGAGCAGGTTTTGTGTAGGTGAAGCTGTTTCTTGTTTGAAACATAAAACCACAGCACATGCTGGCTGCAGTTGCTCGGCTGGTGAGTCGGAGTCTCATAAAACACTGGGAGCAGCGGCACTTTCTCTGAAGGGTGTGAAGAATCTAGGAGAGAGGAAAAAATCCTTGCTTCTGGAGGGATGTGCTGCACTTGGGCCTCTCCCCCCCCACCACCCCCATCCATCCAGAAGTGGGTCTGGCTTTGGTTTTGATGTTGTATTGGAACATCTCTCGAGTGCTGCAGACAGGTTCTGTGCCAGAATCTGTCCCCAGCTGCCAGCGATCTGTTGAGGAAAGTCAAACCCCTCCCTGGGCAGCCAAGTCTGCTTCTCCCCAGCGTTCTGCTTCCTGTGGAATGGATTTGCCTGGAGGGAGGTCAGTGCTCTGCTGGTGGATAGCCTTGTGTCCTCTTCCTGAATGTGTGCTGGGGAGGGCTCCAGCTGAGAGAGTGGGAGCAAGGCTCTGTGTGGTCACCCCTGTGCCAGCACAGCCTGTCTGGGCTCTGCTCTGGCCACCCCTTGGAATCCAGATAATGATGTCCAAGAATCCAGCCTGGCCAGGATGAGGCCGTGCAGGAAGCAGCTGCTCTGCGGAGATCAACTCTCTCACCTCCTGTTTGTGGTTTTTTCTTACTGTTTTCTGGCTTTTCAGCTTGAAGTTGGAATGTGACAAACTAGCCAGCGAGAAATCGGAGATGCAGCGTCACTACGTCATGGTAAGGAGCAGCCCAGAGCAGAGTGTGTGGGTGGCAACACCAGCAGGTGCCTGTGCCTGGGCTCTGCCAGAGCTCCAGGACTCTCAGCAGGGCTGGAATTGGCTCTTTTCTGCAAATGGGGCTGTTTTGTGTTGGCTGCATGCAGGGGGTTGTTGAAATGCACGGTGAGAGGGAGTTTTTCGATGGAGAAAATGGGGATTGCTTGATGGGTGCTTGGCTCAAAGGAAGTGACAGCTTTTGCACACCTGAGGAGGTGATGCAAGGTGCTGGTGTGCAGGTGTTTGGGGACTCTGGGAAGGTCATGGCCAGTGAGAGACAAAGTGCTCTGGGAAGTCATGAAACTGGGAAATCGCACAAGCCAGGTGTGAGTTAGAAGCAGAAATCAACTTCTGTGCCAGGGCTAAACCCTGTGCACCTTGTGGTGACCCCACAGCCGTGCTGAGTGCTGGCACGCGTGTCCCAGGCATGGTAATGGTGCCACGTGTGGGCAGCAGGCTTGGCTGTGGCTTTCCAAGCAAACAGCCACGTTCTGGTGAGCAGGGTGAGGGTTTGCCTGCCAGGGAATGCCTCAGGAGCCCTTGTAGCACAGCCAGGCAGGGCTGTGGTCTCTTCCTTCCCTATCATGGAGTTAATGGGAGGCTGCAGTACTGTCCATGAAGATGAGCTGGTTCCTGCTTGCCAGATGCTGCACCTGCCCTGGAAAGAAGAGATAAGATGTAGAAATTAATAGAGCAGCTCTTCAGAGCTGAGTTAAGACTTAAAAAAATCAGAAATAAGGGAGCTAGCTGGCCCCTTCACTGCTCTTATGGCCAGATTCTGAGGCTGTGGGGAGCAAGGTGTGCTTGGGGCTGGGGACAAGGAGAAGAGGTCACAGCTTTCCTGGTGTGTTCATGGGGAAGCCTGCCCCGTTCTCACTGGTAAACAATTGCTTCCTGTGCAGCCTGCACGGAAACCCTCATCTCCAGCAGTGGCCAAGATACATTTTTTTTTTTTTTTTTTTTTTCCCTTAATGCTGGCAGTCCCCAGAATTGATTCAGGTTGCTGTCAGCAGCAGAGGGAAGGGCTGCTGCTCGTGGTGCAGTGCTGGAGGCTCTGCAGGCACAGCAGCTCCTGCCTCACTGCCGCCGCTCCCCAGCACGGGGAGGGCTCCTGTGAATGTGCAAAGCTGCTACAGCTGCTCTGATTTTTTTTGAATAAGTCACAATTGGCAGCTTGGGGGGACGGGCTCCTGCTTCCTGCTCGGTCTTCAGAATGCAAAGAAGCCTCGAGAGCCCGCAGCAGGCTGAGATCATCCTGATACCGAGCCGGGCTCCATCGCCTTGTGGCGCCCGTACCAGGGTGCCAGTGATCTTCAGCTAAATGAGCACAGATGTGGATTGTTCTTTTCCCTTTGGAAGAATGAGGATTGCAGCCTGCAGGCTGCAGGAGGAGGTTTCTAAACTCTCAAAATATCAGCCTTCTAACAGCTTCTTCCAGGGGTCAGGAATTAGCTGCTTGTGCCAATAGATTGTCTGTAGCTGCCTGTTGCTGCTGTGCAGGGGTTTTCTGGGTGGATTGTTTTTGTGTGTGGAAGGGGGAGGTTTCCACATAACTCCTTCCTAAACAGCTGGAGCTGTGTGCAGCTGGATGTGTTACTTGCTAGATGAAGTCCAGTTGTGATCTCTCCCGTTTGCTGCTGAAGGAGTCATGTGGGCTTTAGGATCCTGGCCAGGCAGAGCTCACAGAGCCAGGCTGCCTCTCTCCTGGCTGTGCTTAGGGAAGTCTGGAGCCCTGAGCCTTTTTCCAGGTTTGACACAGCATCACTCACTCTCACCTCGGTGCAGACTGTGGAAAAGTGTCTGTGAGGGGAGTCCTGTGGGGCAAGACTCCAGTCTGGAGCAGGGTGGGCAGGGAGCACCTGGAGGGGATCTCTGTGTTTGCCTCCTGCTGCCTTTGTTTCCTGGGGCTTGCCCCTGCTCCCCTTTGTAGAAAACCCTGCCAGGGATTCAGTGGTGGTTCCCAGCGCTTAAAATTTGTTTTATTCTCTTCTCTCCTGCTCTGCAGTACTATGAGATGTCCTACGGGCTGAATATTGAAATGCACAAACAGGTAGGGGGGAAAAGCATCTCCAAGTGCTGCAGTTCCTGGGGAAAGTGGGCTGTCTGCTCTGAGTTGCCCTCTGTCACTTCAGATGCCTTTCAGGAGCTAGAAATGCCATCAGCCTGTAAAATGTCAGAGCTGCCTTTGAAATGCAGGGCCCCCCACCTCTCAGGATCACAGTGGGCTCCATCCTGGGCTCTGGGCACCCTGGGGTTCTCCCCAGGGCCTGAACAGGTATTTGAGCACCAGGAAGGGTCTGGAGCTGCAGCTTGGGGACTCTGTGGCAGCCTGGATAAGTTTGCTCATTACCTTCAGTGGTGGTTAAGTTGTTAATTATCCCCAGTGACTAATTACCTGTGGTGTTAACAACATGAGCCTCTTCTGAGCCTGTCTCTATCTGGCTTCAGCTCCAGTCACCAAGTCCTGGCTCAGTTTAAGCCTCTTAGCACAGTTCTGTTCCTCACAAAGGCACTTGGTGCTTCTGATCCCATTGCCCTTGTTGCTAAGCCCATGAGACTGGCTTCCCTGGGAAAACCTGGATCTTGGAGAAGAATCTGAGCCACAGATCCTCACTGCTGTCCCACTGCTGTCTCCCAGCCTGATCTGCTTCCCTGTGCTGCTCTTGGGGTCCCCTCAGCTGGTTTTGATCTGTACCTGTAGCCTTTGGCTCTGTGTTTTCAGTCCTTTAGAAAGTGATTTGCAGAGGATTGGAAGCTTCACTATTTAGAGAAAAAGCATTTTAACACCCCAGAAGGTGCCAGTGCTGCTGTGAGGGTCTTGAGGAGGCTGCTCAGCCCCTCTGGTCTCCCCCAGTAGCCCCAGTCCAGCAGCAGAACTGGGGAGGGGGAGCTTGGGAGGGCTGAACAGCCATGAATGTGTCTGTCTGTCTGTCCACATGGCAGACATAATCCCCACCTGGGTCTGCAGGAACTCTGCTCTCTGGTTGTTCCCAATTTGTTAAATAAATGTTGGGGACCTGGAGAGGAAGAGGAATAGTGAAACTTGGCTCTTTGCAGTCAGGAGCATCCCAGGGAGGAGCCTGGGGGGCCAAGGGGGTCCCATGGCACCAGGATGCTGCCAGGAGGATGGGTTTTGTCACAGCCATTTGGGGACTCAGCCTGCCCACAGGAGGAGGAGGAGGAGGAGGAAGGAAGGTGGGGCAGCTGATGCTGTGCCTGCTCAGTCCTGATCTGCCTGACTTTTCCTCTCTGTTTCTCCCACCTTTTAGGCTGAAATTGTCAAGAGGCTAAATGGGATTTGTGCACAGGTTCTGCCCTACCTTTCACAAGAGGTGAGTCTCCAGTTTGGGGGTGTGTTGGCATGGAGGCTGCTGTCCCTCTGCAGCTGCCCACCCCTGGGCTGGCAAACCCTTGCTTGCTGTCAGCCCAGCCCTTCAGGGCAGTGCTGGCTCCTGGAGCACTGTGTGGTGCTCTGTTGGTCCACCCTAAAACTTCTGTCTTGCTCTATATATATATTACTATATCCTAAAACTCTAAACTCTTAAGTTTTCTGCCTGGTGATATTACACACTTCTAATCAAACTACACACCCATAATCCCAGTGCTGTCAATCAGTTTTGGAAGGTTTCTCCACAGCCTCAGGTCAAATGCAGTGGGGTCAGAGTCTGCCAGCACAGGAAGTGTAAAATTCTCAGTATCCAGGACTTCAATTCCCTTTTGTGGGACAAAGCTGCTCCTGCTCTCTCCTGAGCCATCAGCCACGTCAGCAGTGGCAGCTTTGGGTGGTAACTGGGGGAGAAGGACACTTAAAAAAATACCTCCATATGGAGGATACCTCCTCTCATCCTCTTTGAGATCTGGTTCCTCTGCCTCATTAATTAATGCAGCTGATGGGCTCCTCCCACTCCCCTGGGAAATTAATTGTGGGAGGGGGTGCTTGGGAGTCTCTGGGGCAGGGGAGGATTAAGCACTTCCAGAGCTGTGTTTTCTGTCTCCTCATGGAGGCTGAGCCCTGAGCAGCTCTCCTGGCCCTTTGGGGCTTGGAGCTTCTTGCCTGGGCTCAGTGCTGGGCTTGGGGCACAGGTTCTGTTTTTCCCACCCACCTGTTCTTAGGACAGACAAAGTCCTTGCTTGCTGATCAGATCAGGGTTGCCTAATAACTAAGCCCCAGCTAAATCTTTTGCATCTTAATGCAATCCTTAACCCTGTCCTGCTGCCAAAATGAAAAGAAAAATCTCCTTGCTGAAGTCCTGGTGTTTCAGAGACCTCATGCTCTGCAAGGAGCAAGTACAATTCTCCTTTATTATTTTTTTTAATTATATGATCCATCCATTTTTTCTGCCTGTGTTTGGGACACCCAGCTGCTGCTGAATTTGGTATCCAGGATGTGTCTCAAGGAGCTTCCCAAGAGCTGCTGATTTTTAGGGCTCGTTTTGTTTGTTAGAGGGTCTGTGTAGGTGAAGGGTGGCAGGATGAGAAGACACTGCCCACCTTGGAGCCTTCTGGCCAAGGATCTCTGGGTGTGTGGGGAGCAGGACAAGGGTGGGGATGAGAGGGGACCTGTGGTGAGGAAGGGGATGAGACAAAAGTGCTTCCTTCCCTGCTCCTTGCTGCCCTGGGCCTGGGTGGGAGCCCTTGTCCGGGTGTGTGCAGGTGTAACCAGCCTGATTGTGTGGACTGGGTCCCTGTTCTGCTTCCCTGTCACACTGCAAGTGACCCCAAATCCCTCTGTTTTCTCCACACCAGCATCAGCAGCAAGTCTTGGGAGCCATTGAACGAGCTAAGCAGGTCACGGCGCCAGAACTGAACTCCATCATCCGTGTACGTGATGTTTGGGTTGGGCTGGGAGGGAATTCTGGCCTCTGGGATGTGCATTCTTGACCTGGGGACATCAGGGGACCCTGCTCTGGTGCTGTGGCTGCAAGTCTGGGCTGGCTGTGCTGCTTGCACCCAGGCTTGCTGTGGTGTTTGCAGGGATCCCTGCTCTGTCCCAGCAGAGGAGCTTTGGTGTCGAGCAGGAACCAGAGCAGGCACTCAGCATGAAAACACCATCTGCTCCTGGTCAAAGTTGTGATTGAGGGCTTTATCTGCAGCCTTGGGACGTGCCAGAGCCTGAGGCCAGATGTCCTGTGGGGTAGGGGCTGTGTGTCCTGCTGGGGACACAACACTGAGTCTTCCCTTGAGGCTGTCACAGCAGCAGGACTCGAGAACCTCAGGGTTGGGTGGGAAAAGAGCTTCAAGCTTATTTAAAGCCCTGCTTTAACCTCCATTGCTGCCACGCTCCCACCGAGAGCGCTCAAAATGACAATCCCCCCGTTGTGTCTGTGTGTCTGTCCATCGTTCCCTACAGCAGCAGCTTCAAGCTCACCAGCTGTCCCAGCTCCAAGCCCTCGCTCTGCCCCTGACCCCGCTCCCCGTGGGGCTCCAGCCTCCCTCTCTCCCCGCTGTCAGCGCCGGCACCGGGCTCCTGTCGCTGTCTGCCCTGGGCTCTCAGGCTCACCTCTCCAAGGAGGACAAGAACGGCCACGATGGGGATGCCCACCAAGATGATGACGGCGAGAAATCGGATTAGAGCAACCAGGGGGGCCGGGGGAAAGGGGCTGGGCTGGGGGAGGGAGGGGAGGAGGGAGGGAGGAGGGAGGGAGGGGCGGGTTAGTGCAAAATGCAGTATCTCTCTCCAATTGCTGTGCAGCAGGGCCGTGGTGACCCGTGCTGGGTGGCAGCTTGCCAAGGCCTGTCCCCGAGGGCGGGTGGCAGGGCCTGGCGGTGTCCCCAGCGCCGTCCCCGGCTGCTGCACAGCCATGCAAGCGCCATAGCATTACCCGTGTGGCCAATCGTGCTGTCCCTGTGCCCGGCCTGCCTTCCCCATCCCTCCTCCCCCTCACGGAGCAGACTCTGCCTGCTCTGGGGCCACTTTGCCCCCTGGCTGTCCCAGCTCCTCGGTGGCCTCTCCCTCCACCTGCTGCTCCCCCTTCGGTATTTAAAGATTGCCCCTTGATCCTAACGGTTCTGCACAACTCCCTGCTAGGATCCCTGGCCCGGAACAATCTCCTCCTTCTTCCCCAGGTGCTCTTGGTCTTGTGTCCCCCACGCCCCTCCTGCACTAATACCAGGCCTAATAACAGCCTTGCTGTTCTGCATGTACCTGTTCTCAACCAGCTCTGGCTGCCAGGGGCTTCACCCTGGGCTGGAGGGGGTGTCCAGGTGGACAGGGCAGACCAAGAGCCTTCCCCAGCCTCCCCCTCCCTGTGCCCCTGCCCTGTGTAGAGGATACAGCAGCTTTCTCTGTTCTTATCTCCGTGCGCTAGCGTGTCTTCTTAAAAAACAAAAATGGTTAAAAAAAAAAATTAATAAATAATAATCTGGTGTTTGTATATAGTTCTTTAGAAAGATCTTGTTTTGCTTTTTGTGTTTAATCACTTGACCTATAATAAGAGGAACTGAAAATGCTGTATCAAGGACGTACAAGCTGTGCCTTTCAAATAAAGAAATAAGAAGGTTGGTTAAAACAGTGACTTGCTGCTGCTTTCTTGTTGCCTTTGGGATGACTTTAAAATACTTCCCTGTGCCTCCTGTCCCTTCAGGTGGGGGAATCAGCTGGGGAGAACTGAGTTTTCCTGGTGTGGGAAGTGTCTGGAGGTGCAGTCCTCCTTCCTGCAGGTGCTAGCAAATCCCAGATTATTCTTTCCTGTTGGATGTGCTGCTCTCCCTCCCTGGAGGTTCCTCTGGGAGCAGGGTTAACATTCACACCTCTGCCTCTGGCTTCTCTTGTAGGGGCTGGTGGAATGGGGCTGTCCCTGTGGCTGGTTAAAACCATGACTGGCTGCTGCTTTCTTGTTGCCTTTGGGATGACTGTAAATACTTCCCTGTGCATCCTGTCCCTTCAGGTGGGGGAATCAGCTGAGAACTGAGTTTTCCTGGTGTGGGAGGTGTCTGGAGGTGCAGCAAATCCCGGATTATTCCTTTCCTGTTGGATGTGCTGCTCTCCCTCCCTGGAGGTTCCTGTGGGAGCAGGGTCAACATTCACACCTCTGGCTTCTGCTCTAGGGGCTGGTGGAATGGGGCTGTCCCTGTGGCCTTTGTAGCTCTGGGATGCCCCTGCAGAGGTGAGGGCTGTGCCACAGCTGCAATCTGCCAGGAGGATGCTCGGGCAAAGCCAGAACAAACGAGCTCAAGGTGAAAAGTGGTGGGTGGCGAAAAGGGAGCAGGGATTCTCCAGAAGAAAAGCGAGGAGCGAGTGCCCCCGAGGTCTATCAGCTCTGTGCTGCTTTGGTAGCACACGTGGAGGTCCCTGCGGGCTGCCACAGGTCTGCTCTGCGTGTGCATAATTCATTTTTCCTCTGGGCACAGAGGATAAGCTCCTTCTGTGGCTCTCAGCCCCCTCTGGAAAATCCGGCCCGCGGTGCCCCGGGGCTGGGATTGCTGTAATGGAATTGGCTCTCGATAATTAGAGCTGTCCTCTGGCTGCAGAGCCTGCTCCACCCTGATAACATCTTCCCCTCTGCTATCTCTTAGGCCACTTGGAGTGGGGAAATTTCCTTCCTCTGAGGAGGAATCCGTGCTGGGGGAGTCGTGGTGCACCCAGCACTGAGGTGTGGAGGGGCTGGTGGGTTACAGAGCCTGTGGGCAGAGAGAGAAAAGTTGAGTTTTTTAGGAGCCTATGGTACGAGAGAGACTCCTCTCTTCTTGGTGAACTGAGAATTGATTATCTGAAGAGTAGTGATGGACTGAAAGTTGGTTATCTGAGGGGTGGTAACTGAATTGAGAATCCAAGGTTTTGTCTTACTGTGATGTGTTAGAAATTTGGTGAGGGGAGGAGGAATGTTTTTAGAAGGTTTTCATCGTGAGTTCTGTGTGTGTTTCTTTTTACATCTAGTTTTAAGTTAATAAAGTTGGTTTTTTAATATATATAATACATATTATTATATTATATATTATATATTATTATGTTATATACTATTATATATATTATTATATATTATATAATAAGATATAATAATATATTATTATATTGTATATTATATTATTTATATTATATATAATATATATTATACCTATTAATATATTATAATAATATATAATATAATATTTATAATAGTATATATAATATAAGAGTTATTATAATAGAATAGTTATAATAATATATATTATATTATATTATATTATATTATATTATATTATATTATATTATATTATATTATTACACTAAAACTATACTAAAGAATAGAAGAAAATATTTCATTAGAAGACTTAAAAAGAAAAGAATGATAATAAAATCTTGTGACTGCTCACAGCCTCGACACCGCTGGCTGTCATTGGTCACCAAGTAAAAACAATTTCACAGGTAAACAATTCTCTAAATCACATTCCAAAGCAGCAAAACGTGGAGAAGCTGAAGCTGCCCAGCTTCTCAGGAGAAAAGATCCTAATGAAAGGATTTTTCATAGAATATGTCTGTGACATCCTCCCTTCCACCTGCCTGGCACTGGAGGCTCAAACCCAGCCTCCTTCCTGCATGCAGGGAGCAGCTGGCAGTTTTTCACTGGATTTCACCTCTTTGGGTCCCTCCTGCAGGACAGAACCCCCAGTGGGAGGTTCTGGCACATCCCCCTGTGGCTCCCACCCTCCTCGTTTTCAGCTCTGCCTGAAACAATGGCAGGGGAATGCTGGAGGAGCAGGGCTCCCTTCCCAGCTCCTGTTAATGCAGGAACGCCGAGCTCTTCCTGGCTGCTGCAGCAGCAGCAGCAGATAAAAGCTAAAGGAGGCATCAATAATTAAAAACCACTCAGAGCTGGTAAGTGCAAACAGGAGCCAGCACAGGGATCGAAGGCAGAGAGCAGAGCTGGGCTGCTCTGAGGGCTCTCACTCCTCCTCTGCAGCCCCTGGAACCAGGGACACCTGGAGGGGACACCTGGAGGGGACACCTGTCCCCAAGGGCTCAGGCACATGTGGCTTTGGAGAGTGGACACTGGAATTTTGGGCATGAGGAGCTGCAGTTTGGTCCTGGAAGGGGAGCTCAGGGAACTGGGGAACTTGGATTTCCAGGGCACTTTGGCTTAGATCTGGCTGGTTTGGAACCCAGGGACACCTGGAGGGGACACCCAGGGACACCTGGAGGCTCCCACTCCTCTTCTGCAGCCCCTGGAACCAGGGACACCTGGAGGAGACACCTGGAGGGGAACATCTGTCCCCAAGGGCTCAGGCACATGTGGCTTTGGAGAGTGGACACCAGCACTGGGGGTTTGGGCATGAGGAGCTGCAGTTTGGTCCTGGAAGGGGAGCTCAGGGAACTGGGGAATCTTAATTTCCAGCACAGCTTTGGCTCAGATCTCGCTGGTTTGGAACCCAGGGACACCTGGAGGCTCCCATTCCTCTTCTGCAGCCCCTGGAACCAGGGACACCTGGAGGGGAACATCTGTCCCCAAGGGCTTAGGGACATGTGGCTTTGGAGAGTGGACACTGGAATTTTGGGCATGAGGAGCTGCAGTTTGGTCCTGGAAGGGGAGCTCAGGGAACTGGGGAATCTTAATTTCCAGCACAGCTTTGGCTCAGATCTCGCTGGTTTGCTGCCAGATCCTTTCCTCAGTTCCCCTTCCCATCTCATGCTCATTCCAGGACTGACTCCAGCCAGGATGAGCTCCCTGCTTGTGCCAGCTGCCCTGGGAGATTCACAAGGGCTGAGGTGCCAGGAACCGCTCTCTGCTGAGTTCATTCAAGTGGGCAAGCTGAAAATGGGATGGTTTGGTGAGCCACAGCCACCCTTGGTGTCTCTGCAGAACGAGGTGGGCTCTGCCCTCGAGCATCCACAGCTGCCCTGTGCTCCCCTGTGCCAGGCTGGCATTCAGGGAGGGCTGGAAGACAAAATCCCTGGGGAAATTCCAGCAGCACCAGCAGCAGCCTCTCCTGTTGGGATCCAGTCTCAGGTGGAGCTCCTGGGTGTCCCTGTGTTGGTTTGATTTCTCTGCTGCTGTTCAGAGCATTTCCCTCTTGGTCCTAACATGGATTTCAAACATCCTCATCCCTTGGGGCTCTTCCAGGCTCTGCCACCACCAGGCACGAGTGTGGCTGAGCATCCTGCAGTGGTGACAGCCAGCCCTGGGCTGTGGCCACTGCCCAGCACGGTCCCTGTGAAAAATGCGTATTTTATGATTGGCTTTTTGCTAATATTAAAATGAATATTATATGTGTTGTGTTAGAAAGTGATGCTGTATTAATTCTCTTAACTAGTGTGGTAAATGTAGTTTTGGGTTATAAAAAAATGTTAAAATAGAAACGATGCTATGTAGGATACTTTCTTTAAAGAAAGGACTTGCAGTGGAATAGCAGCCACAGGACACATGAATCTTTCAGAGAAAGAGAATTTATTGCTCCATTATCAGAATAAATGAACTTCTTCCCACCTGGAAGGCGCTGTCAGGATTTGGAGGAAGAAGTTGACACTGACCAGACAGAATCCTGTGTTTGAATGGAATTTATGCATCATGTATGAATATGCAACAGGCTGTTGCTTTTAAGGGTTAATCCTCTGTTAACTGTGTCCTTTTTCGGGCTTGTGCTGCCCAGAAAAAGGTACCAGGATGTCTGTAACTCTTTGT